TATAATTATAGATAAAGGATATGAAGAATTGTCATACGAATATAAGACAAATTGCATGATCTCACCTCAAACATATAGTCATATTCAAAATAATGCATAGATACATACATGAGTAGAAATAACAGGCAGGAATAAGTCACAGCATTCAAATGAACTCTAGTTAAAATTCAAAGTAACTGGTAACAATATTGTTGAACAATCAGTGCCCTAGGGATGAGACATATATATATATATATATATATATATATATATATATATATATTGGAGCATCTGGAGCACAAGCTAGTAAGCTACTTATATAAAATTTAGATTCGGGTTAACATAATAAAGCAAACTGCAAATTTCAAACCTCGTCTTCAAAGCAAGTCTCCTCATCCGTATCCGCATCTGGGTCATTTTGGTCAAGCGTTGCTTAATCTTATGTATAAGAAGCTTGGGCCAATACATCTGCCAATGCAGAAACGTCAAACCCAAATTCAATCTTGATTATCACAAACCAGTAAAACATATTCCAAAAACTACATATATCAAAGGTACCAGATGTTTATCTATGACTTCAAGTGCCTTTTCATAATTTCTCGGCAGCTTCACTCTCTCCCACAAATCTTTCGGCATGTGAGCTCTTTCTATAGTTTTCATGTAAAGATAAAACACTCCTGCAACACACAGAGCAAAATCGCCATGGTATACTTCGTCTTTTTCATGAATTCCTCATTTATTGCACTTGTCATTCATGAAGATAACCACTTAAGGGTGTTTGGAAGAGCATATATGAGTTTATTTGAATTTATCTTCAGTAGTTATGCAGAAAACTGAAGCTATCAGGTTAAAATTATGATAGTGGCTGGCATAAACTTCTTTAACTAATTTCAATAAGCTTTACGGTGAAGCTTATTTATAAAATGTTTGGATAAACTTCCCAACGAGTACTTACACTACAACTTTTATAAAAGTCTTTCAATCTAAACCGAAGTGCATAAGTTAATTTATCCTAGCAGGGCTATAACAAACTATAATTCTAACCAGTACTAGTACAAAACATCAAATTCTAGCAAAAAATAAAATAAAATCTACCCCAGAAAGGGCAGAAAGGAAAGTGTTTTTAAGCAAAAGTACCATTGTCATCTCGAATGGTGGCATAGCGACTATTAGCCAAAGGGCACGAACTTCTGTTACAAACCCCAGTCACGTTGTAAGGATTTCTACAAAAATTCCCCGTCGAAATTCTACAAGAAAAAAAAAAAAAAAACAAGTGAAGGATTAGTTTGAGTTCGTGGCAGCAATAAAACAAAATCATAAATCTGAAGGGAGAGTAATGAAAACGAAATTCAAAAGAAAAAACAGTTAAGGAACTTTTTACTTGGCCATGTAACTGCAATGATTGTGCCTGATAACTTGCCATATGACCTCGTCGTGCTGCATCGTTGCGCCAAAATATTTGGATCCTACTCAGCCGGTGTCGTTTCACGGTGCGATTGGGTAACAATTTCGTGGTTCACTGATTCTCCTTCCACTGCTCCGGCGGAAGCCAAGAATAAGTGGCTTAGGTCGTATTAGGGTTTTAGTTTTCTGGGCCTCAGTTAAGTTCAATAACTTTTTTTATATAAAACATGAAAATTATTTCTTTTGTAGCAAAACTTAAAAATAATATATATATATATATATATATATATATATATATATATATATTTATATCTTCTTTCTTTTAATTTTGTTCGTTGACTATAAAATAATATAAAAAAAATTTTTACGTTTTTATCAATTATAGATTTTTTCAGTTTTTTTTTTTTTATTTTAAAATTTTATCAAATGTTTATGTATTTTTAACTATTCATAATTTTAAAAACAAAAATTTATATTTAAAAGTAATGTATATTAAATTTTATAAATTAAAATAAATAAAAAACTATAATAAAAATACAGATATAAAAACGCATTAATAACAGGTAAAATGGTTCATTTAATTTTTTAAATTAACAAAATTTAATTAGTTTTAAAATTCAAATAAATTAATATAGAATCTTGAAAATGAATTTTTAAATTTTCTAATTATTTTTATTTAAACTATAAATTTAATTAATTTATATTGTAATAAATTGAAATTCAATCAAAATTTATATTGTATTTTAATGATAATATTTAGGAATTTATTTAAAAATAATAGTAATAGTTACTTTTAAACAAATTTATTAACATTTAAATATTAACTTTTTATATATATAATTTAAAAGACATATACTTATATAATATAATCAAAACTGAAAATAATGACAAGAGTATTATAACAATAATTAAAATATAGAAAAATAATATTTAAAAATATGTATAATATGATGAACTGATTATAAAAATATAAAAAATATTTATAACATAATATATTAAATATTTTTTAAATATATGTTGAATTGATATGTAATTAATAAGTATTTTGTTATTTTTTATGTGAATATAACTTTTATGAGATTATCATTTGAGTTTACAAGTTGAGTTACAAAATTTTTATAAATTTATGTAAACTTGTTGTTTTGATAATCTTGATTAATCTATGTTTAATTTAATTTTTTAATATTATAAATAGAAAGTTAATAACGTGGCTTGGCCTAAGATGATTTATTAATTCTAATTTTTATATTATATGTAGTTAAATTTAACAAAAAATTAAAAATAATAATGTTAAAATAAATATAGCATGATGTTATGTTACTTATTCGTCATAAAATTATTATCAGTAAATAGTTATTATAAATTAACTTTTTTATATAATAATTATGATAAATATTTAAGTTTAGTATAATTAAAATATTTATTTTATTAAAATTTATTAAAATATTTAAATTCATGTCCCAATCTTAATTTTATATTTAAATTTAAATTTTAAAATATTAATATTTTAAAAAAATTCATTATATATAAGATATTTTTTTATATTTTATAATTTTTATTTTTTTATATCTAATTTTTAATTTTAATTTTTTTATCTTTTATCATCAATTGTTTTATTATATATATTTTTTTCTTGTATCTCTCACCTTTTTATATTTTTTTCAATATCTTTAATCAATTTGTTTTTTTAATTTTTTTAAACCAATTTAAAAAACAAAAAATTAATTTTTCTTCTTCTTTATTTTTTTCTAAATATTTTACATAAATCTTCCTAATAATTAATATTATTTATTTATAATTTTTCTTTATTAGGTTTTATTATGCCATATTATTTTTATTTTATTATTGTTATTTATGATATATTAAATTTTATTTTAATAAAATAATTATATTTTAAATGATTAAAAAGAATTAATAATTTAAAATTTTATTATATTGAACTAATTAAATGATAATTAATTTATTAAATATTTTTTTATAAATTATATATTTTATATTTTGAAATGACAATTTAAAAAAATTTAACTTATATATAATTAAATATTTGAATAAAATAATAATAATAATAATAATGTTATAAATATTTGTATATATATAAAGAAAAAATAATAAAATATTTCTTTTATAATTTTTTAATATAAATATAATAAATTAAAATATACATATTTAATTAATAATTATAAATTATAAATATTTATTTATGTATACAAATTTATAAAAATATTAAAATTAATTTATTATAAATATTATAAATGGGAGACTGGATGAGGATGAGAAAGTCTAAAATTCAATTAAGATAAAAACTTAATTTCTAATTTCCATTAGTAACTGGAACAATTAAAAAAGTTTAAAAAAACAAAACCTACCCCAACTGTCGTCTCATTGTCATGACGAAGAACAATTCACATTAATTATTTTTTATCTTAAAAAGCAATTTATGATACATATCATCGTTAAATAACTTACTATTAACTTTACTCCATATAAACATCTCAAATAAAAATTTACCTTAAAAATGTAAAATAAAAAATTATAACACTACCTAATTATTTTTGAGCAATTTATTATTAATTTTACTCCCATTTAGAAGTTTCATTTAAAAAATTAACTATCTCTTATTTTCTCTCTTCCTTTATTATTTATTTATTTTTATAAGTTTGTTTGACAAAATAATTAAAAATGTAAACCTTATTCTATCACATAATATTCTTATGATAAAAAATTATTTAAAACTAGCAAATATTTTATTTAAACGTCTCTTTTATTATATAAACAATAAAAATATTAAAAAGAAAATATCTTCTTCTAAAAAGCAATTACTAGCTAAGAGCATAAAAAAATATCAGAAGTAAGAACAGACAGCTTTTGTAAGGATCCCCTCTTAGACCATTATCTTCTCTTCAATGGAACTTGATATTTTCAGTAGCAGACAAGAGTGTAGCGAAGAAACTCATCTGGCAACAAAAATCAATGTTGTTTTCAATCTACTTTCTAAAAAAATCTTAAACTTTTGTCATGTTTTTCCACCTCTATTTATCTTCAACCAAATAAAAAAATAGAACAATTTAAAATATATTTACGTCACAATATAAATTATCTGCGTAAATTTAAGATATATAAATTTATTATAAATTTTAATTATAATATAATATAATTTTTATAATATTATTTATTGTAAAAAATATTCATATAAAATTTATATTTTCAGTTTCAAATAAAGTGTGGAGAAAAGTTCAGAGAAGAAAGGAGACCATAAGTTTGGTGTGGTAGACAAAGTACATGCAAAAATATCTGACTTCCCCAAATAGTATTTTCCTTTTTAAGTTGTGAATTTTTTTTTCATGAAATGTCAAATTTAACCTTGTAATTAAACAATTAAAAAAGGATAAATAGATAAAAATCATATTTTTTAAAAATATATTTATGTATTCACTTTGACTCTGTTTTTTCCCCGGTTTATTTTTTCAATTTTAAATGTTGTTGTCGATAAGATCATAACTACGACAGGTTATTATTATTTATGATTTATTATTAATTATTTATTATTGATGTTATCATCTCCTTCTATTTAGGTTTCATTAGAAGTGTCAGAGTGCGCAGAAACCGAAGCACGCAACATGCCCACTTTTACTCTCACGCCCTCGCTCCTTCCCATCACGTCCAGATTTTCCAAATCCCAATTTTGCCCTTTCCCCTGCGTTCCCCGGTTTTCCTCCTCTCGCGTTCTCTGTCACGTCGGCTCTAATCGCAATGCCCAACGCCACATCGCCACCGACCTCAATTTCGTCCTGCACGACGCTCTCCAGGCTTCTGGAATCGACACAACCCACGCCAGAGTAATCACCATACTATCGGACTCTGTCTTTGTCTTCTTATTTTCTGACAATATTCTAATTACTTGTGTTCGTTGATTTTTGTTATGCAAATATTTATTTAGCAGATTGTCCAATACAACTCCCTCTGTTTTGTTTTGTAATTGAAATTTGATTTTCATCTGAATAGCTTATGTTAAGGTTTAATGTAAATTTTTAAAGCTAAATATTGAAATATCTCTCCGTTTGGTTATTTTTTTTTTTTTTATGCTAATTGAAGTAATAGGTTTTTAATTTTTGTTTGACAGAGAGAATAAAAGAATGAGAGTTAATTTTGTTTGTTTGGCTGAACACACACGTGTATATATATATATATATATATATATATATATATATTAGAAAATACTGGTACAATTATTTTTCATCTCTCTGTCTCTCCTACTGATTTATATTAAATTACACAATTTTTGAAATATTTTTTCTCACATATTTATACTCAAAATAACGACAGTTTTAATCTTACTATCTATTTATCTTTTTTGAACTTACTTTATCTTATTTTTATCATTTTTATTTTTTTAATCAGGACATTGGGTTTTGAGCGGTTTAGGCTGCAAAGTTTCCTGTGTTTATTTTGTTTTTGTTGTTGCGTCTCTTTTCTTTTACATTTGGTTAACTAGAAACTATATTCAATGGGTTTCGTGCGTAATTTGATTTGGTATGTTAAAAATTGAAGCATGTTTGCCCTCGTTTTGATCGAAAATGGTTTAATGTGTATAGCCTGGAATTGCTAGTTTGGAAATTCCCTATTCCTTTTTTACTCGAATCTGTTTTTAACCCAAAATGGTTTTTATGCTGATGCATTTGAAATTTAGATTTTTAACCATGTTTGAGTTTTGAATTTCTAGATTTATTCTCATTTGTTGCATTGTTGGTGAATGAGCAGGAAGCTAGAGAGCAATTTTGCTCACAAATTGGGAGATTTACTGATATTGAGAAGGAAACCAGCATTTGTATCAACAGGTGTGTTGATTTGGGGAGAACTGCTCTGTACATAGCTGCAGAGGATGATTCTCTGGTGTCACATTCATCAGTTTCACTTCCCGTGGATGATTTCATTACCAGATTAGATGATCTTTCCATGGACTACTGTCCTCACTACAGCCCCAAATATGGTTCGTCGCCTGAAAAGTTCTTAGAGAGCATCGAGAGATTTCTATATGTTCACAAGGTTTGTTCTTTAGATTTGTGTTTTATAAGAATGTCCACTGCCTTCAGGATAATCCCATTCTTTGCACATCAGGAGCAGGATATAAAATGTATTATGAACTATGAAGTACTTATATGTACCAATCAGTTCATTTAAATGTGTTCTACTATGTTGACCTAAATCAATAGGCCACAGAAACTTCAAAAGTAGAATATGTAGTAATCATATGGACGATCCTTTTTATTCCTGGTTAAGAACTAGGTATTGACAGCCTGTAATAATTTTTCTACTTTTTTCTCACATCTCGTAAATTATATTATTTTTAACTAATGTCCTCCTCTTACCTTGACTTCTACTGATCCTTTCTTGTTGATAGGGTTTCAAGAGAGCCAATACAAATCTATTGGAGCCACGAGCTCTTGATCTCCACTCGGTAATTGTCTATATATATAGTTTTTGCAGGTTGTTTCTGAAGAGAAATGGGTGGTAGATATTTGACAGATTTGCTTTGATGTATTGAGCAGGTTTTGACCCATCGTTCAGGATCTGCTGCAATGCTATCGCTTATATACTCAGAAATTCTGAAAATGCTTCGGCTGTGGAGCCTTTTGTATTTTGATGCTGAAATTTTCTTCCCTCATGATGATCTTACCCTTCCCAAAGGCTATCATAAGCAGAAAAGCAAGGAGTCAGACCAAGCTCACATAATGACTTCAGGAAACCTATTAGTTGAGGTAATTTCTGATTGTATTCTCCACTCCTTTTCACTTTCCGCGGTATCTCTTCTACCAATAATGTGTAGATTTTCCTAGTGTACAGCTGTAACTATTCTGTGCCATAAACTAGGAGGAAAAGCCTTGGCACAAATATATCACGGCCATGTGAGCTAGTGATCATAGATTACATGTTCTACTGGTTGGGGGACAACCTCCAACTTGGATATGGCTGCACAAGCATCTTTTTTAAGGATGTTCGTTGCAAATAAATAAGTTCCATGCTCCTGAGTTTTTTGGTGGACATGTAGAGTGTCTTTTCTACTTGCTGGCTGTTCCAGTAATATCTGTAATAAATTCCAAGAGCAATGAGGCGACACATGAAAATATGCTAGACACTTGTTTAATTTTCTGACGAAAGAGATCATTCTTATCTTTGCCAATCTACTATTATGTTGTTTTAGCTGCTTTAGCCTTTAGTCTCCCTTTTTTTTTCACTTATGTCGACCTATATGTGTAGATCTTAAATGATCTGAAGCATGCATTCTGGCCTTTTCAACACGATCACACCAAAACTTTATTTTTAAGAGCAGCAAGTGCTGCTAACTGTGTTGACAGATCTGATTTTGTTGGAGAAAGGTACTTTATAAGATGACATTCTCGTCTCTTATTCTTAATGTAATTAGTCATATCAGAATTAGTTTTAAAATTTGTCAAATGGCAGTGGCTCTCAAATTGCATCAGCTAAGGCTGCTCAACATAGACTAGACCGAGGTGTTTGGACCAGTGTGCGTTTTGGAGACATGAGGCGTTCTTTGTCCGGTATGCATTTGATTCATTTTTTCTCTGCTTTGTCTCAATACTGTAAAGTATTGTATGGATTTGGTTATGCATGGCCTCCCTCCCTCAGTTGCTAAGTTTTGGTTAAAGTCATTGCACAGTGTTATCTTCCTGAGGGTTAGAGAGAAAAGTGAGGTGTAGAGATGCTAAATATTGATAATGTGATACGAAATACTTAATCATTTGTTCTACTTATGCTAATAATGATGGGCTGTGTTTTGGTCAGTTTCTTCATAAGCATTTGTAGAAAAGAAAATAAGAAGAGAAAATGAAAAATTTCTCCATAAGATAAAATTTATTTATACATAAGATAATTTGTAAAAACTCTTTCATCTTAGCTTCTCAAAAATCAAATTTTGAGCTTATATATAAGGTGGTTATAGTTTATGGATAAGCTTATGCCATGCTTTTCTTCTTATAAAAGTGTTTATGGAGACGTTTATCTCAACAGTCTTTATGTCAAGAACTGTGTAATTTTACTGGCATAACGCACTTGAGCATTACTGATAGATAATTGGGTTCCTTAAGCATACTACTAGCAGTTCGATTCCTGCACATTTAAATGGAGAAGACTTTGTTGGGATAGATAAAACTCGATTTTTACGTTTAGAAAAGAATTAGTTTCCAACTATCGGTTGGAGAATATTAGTCTTGGTGCAAACCAAAAAAACTACCAGTATTATCACAAACCTACACAAGGAAATAAAAAGAAATACAATGAGATCTGAAACAACTTGCAAGAGATAATTTGATATACTCTAAATATTCTATAATACAATTATTATTTTGAGATGTTCTCTGGATTCTAACAATTTTGTTGGACATTATTCTTGCCATTTGTCACTTGTCAATTTTGCTAATACTGAGCAGAAATTAACACAATTTATTGTGTTTTGATATGATCCCGAATATTTTCCCTATTTTTTCAGCATGTGAGCGTCTTATCCTGTTGAAAAATGAGGCAAATGAATTGAGAGATTACAGCATTCTTCTCTATCACTGTGGATTATATGAGCAGTCACTTGAATACCTGAAGAAGTACCGGGAAATAAAGGTACTATCTCGATCCTATGCAATGCATGTGATGCTTTTCTAAGTTAACTGATGGAGTTGTTTTACCAATTTCTGCAGAATTCATCAACACAAGAGACATTATCATCAAACCCTCTAAGCAGCCTGGAAGAAGATGCTGTGAATAACCTGATGATGCGTTTGAATCTCATCCTGATGGAGCAAGGTTGGACTCGGCCATCTTATGCCAGGAATTTTCTTGGAAACAACTCCGAACCATGGTAGTTCCTCTTCCATGTTGATAGAGACAACGTCAAAGAATGTTTTCATCAAGCCAAGACATGAAAGCCAAAGTGAGGCATCAAGTTTTGTTCGTATTACCGAACATCAACATCAGCAGTGGGATATGGGGATACATGCAGCTGTAGTTCTCCAATAGCTTTGCAATCATACAAATAAAAGGGTGATCGCAACTGCTGAAGTGGACGAGATTGTGCGATAAATAGAGGTACAACATTTACACAGGTTTTTATTAAAAGTAACAACCATATATTAATGTAGGGGGCAAAGAAAATTCCGTATTGTTATATAATTCTGTATCTCATGCACATTTCCTCTGTAAAATTCATGTATGATGTATATAATACTGAACAGGTTTTCCTCTGACACAGTAATACATAGATATGATACCAGAAGCATTACTGAAGTTCAATTTTGTCATATATTTGAGTGGAGTGTCCAAACAAATAGAAATTATGGGAAATTGAACCGTGTTTGCATCCATGCGTATGCCTATACCACAGTATATATATATATATATATATATATATATATATATATATATATATATATATATATATATATATATATATATATATATATATGAAAAACCATTTTCTATAGAATTAAGAAATGATGAAAAAGCAACATATTGATACCTAACTATTTTCCACAAAGTGACGAGAAAGAGTATAATTTGAACAAATATTTTTATTTTCCAATTCAATTCAATTCATTGGAGTTATTTACTCGATCGTCAAGAACACCTTTAACAGAGGGACAGTCGAAAAAAGAAATTTTGAAATAATTTGTTCAATAATTATTATTTTCAATTTGTAATTTTTATTAATTACTTTAATTATAAAAATCTTGGTAATTAAAAAATGAAATTTGATTATATCATTAACAATTTCTTTATTTTATATTTAGGAGAAAATTATTATGAATCTAATTATTTTTGCCACTTTTGTTATTGTTGGAGCCCAAGCTGGAGAGGGATTGTCCAGAGGTAGAGGAAAAAATAGGGGGTATTTTATTTTTTAGTCTAGCTTTTAGAAAGTTTTAACAATTTATGAACTGATTGTAATATTAGTAATTTTATTTATTAATCCTTTTGTTTAATCTTAAAAAGATAGAAATATATATGTGAATTTTTTTTTTAATTATATGAATATTTCACTCTTATAATTTTTTATCCGTCGGCATAGGAATAATAATAACAAGGAAGAAGGACTAAGGAATTTACACGCAATATTTACGATTATCGTTCAAATATTTGATAAAATTTCCAGACAAATATGAAACAATATACAACTTTAGCTATATAACCATCACCTGCAACTTAACAAGGTTAATAACTGGGTCTGCTATGATAAGTTGATAACAAGCAAATACAACTCAAGGGCTATTGCTTTACGGGTGTCGATATTTTAGCAACAGCGTATACAGATTTAAACAACAATTATGTATAAAATAATATTAAATTTATAATTATGTATAAAATAATATTAAATTTTGATTTTTTCTTTTTTGTCTTTCGTTTCTCTTTTCTCTCTTCCCGGTCTTCACTCTATTTCACTTTCCTCTCTCTCGGTGTTCACAGTTTCGGAAGTTCTCGACACATCAGCTCCCACATGGTCGTTGCCCTCAAAGAATTAGTCGTCGAGCAACAACATTAGTTCGACATTGGAGGAAGCTTTGAAGAAGTTCTCACTCTGCAGTGGCGTCCATGCTCGTGTTGTCTGTATCATTTGCCCTACTCTCTATCTTTATGTGAAGGTAAGTTTATGTTTTCTATGATTTGAGTTGATTTGGGATAATTGTTCATGATTTTGTTTAGACCAAGTTTAGACCAACTGATGGTGGTTGGGACACAAGCAATCCTTTGAGTAGTATCGTACTGTTTCCTTGCCATATGTTGAACTATCTCCCCTTAGATATTTTGATATGATTTTTTTGCTTTAAGAAATTGTGACATGTTTGTTGTCTATCCTTTGGCTATTGTAATTTAATTTATTTATCCCCATGTCTGATTACTTGTGTTGGATTTATATGATTCTGATACTGAGCTTTCAGATTTAATGGTGGTTTTGGGTTTCCTGTTGTTTATTGTGTTTCTAGATTGTGCTCATATTACTAGTAGTTGTTGTGGTGGTTTGAGTATTGGTGTTTTTTGTTGTTGTTTATTGTGTTTCTAGATTGTGCTCATGTTGCTAGTAGTTATTGTTGTGGCTTGAGTATTGGTGTTTTTTGTTGTAGAAACACTTTCTGGTGAGGAAGGATAAGAAGTCACAAGGTGGTAGTTGGTTTCTCCCCTGGACTGGCTTGTGTTGTAGGGGTTGAGGGAACTGACGTGGTAGAATGAACTGTCACAGATATTGAGTGGAAGGAACCGTGATGATGGTTCATGTGTCATGAGGTTTGATGGCTGGTGTAGGTGGGGTTGAATTTGTGTGGGAAAACTGTGATCCGTTGGTTGTTTGTGCCTTGTAGAGTTTTTCTAATGTGGACTTCATTTAAAGAATTTCTAAATTTCAATAATTCTAAATTTCAATAAGGCTTTCATTTAAGAAGAAATCAACTAATTGGTTGGTTTTGGTGAGAATGCTGAAAAATGTTGTAATCTATTTGGGAGATGTTGATTTTGTAGAGGAATGAAGCACCAACATATTTCTATAATATCAAACAATATTATGGACATTTTTGTGTTTGGTAGACACCCCAGACACATGGGTTATGAAAACAGATTATATTTCCTTGTCTTTGAACTTAATTTGACAATACTCTATGAGATTGTTTCTAAAAGTGTACACTCAATCAGAAACTATATGATAAGTTTGTTGACATTTATAGTAATTTGTCATAAAATTTACACATAACCTGATTTCTGACTAGTTAACAGTATTAAAAAAATTGACAGAGGATGTAACAAATTAAATGGACAATGTTTCATCTAAATTCCAATTTTGTTTACCCAGTACATGTATTTGCAGTTTGAAATGGAAAGACATGGAAGTATAGATGATGGATGTTTAAATGTTAAGAAGGTGAATATTGTATCTATTTGTATAATATTGGATATTCTTTATGATAATTATAATTAATTATTTTTGATTTTCAGGTATATTTGCGACATGTTTGTAGGACAAATTATTTAGGTGAAATAAATAACATTCTTACAACAGAGCAAAGAGGTCGTATTGAGTCAACACCATTTAAATGGTTGATGTCATTGGGTAGAAAGGTTAAAATTAGTAGAACATTGTTTAGTGAATTAATAAGTAGATGTGTTGAAAAGAGAAGATGGTTTAATATAAGGTCTGAGATAGTATGTTTTACACTGTTAGATGTGTGTTTAGGTTTAGGACTTCGTGTAGTAGGCGAAAATGTCAAAATTGTAGAAGCAGACATTGATTGTCATACTAGGAGACTATTTACTGGGAAACATGTTACTTTGAAAATGATTTTTAATGAATTTGTTAAACGTCAAAATGATAAGGATGTCGATGACTTTTGTAGGTTGTACATACTTTTAGGTTTGTCAGAGTTTTTATTCCCTAATAAACTAGGTATCACACATTGTGGGTTTTTTAAGTTAATAGATAATATATCTTGTCTTGGAAAGTATAATTAGGGAAAAATAGTGTATGAATATCTGGTTGGAAGTTTATGTGAAACATCAATTTATTTGAAAAAACGAAGCAATTGTTCACACTTGCATGTACTAGGATGTGTGTTTTTGTTACATCTGGTTGGAAGTTTATGTGAAACATCAATTTATTTGAAGAAACGAAAAAATTGTTCATACTTGCATGTACTAGGATGTGTGTTTTTGTTACAGGTAAACAAACAATATCAAATTGAAATCATATTTTCACATATTGTAAAGTAATATTGTAAACAAGTTCTACTAAACTTTTAATGAACTAACCTTATTATGATTAAACACAACTACAATCTTACTTTTCCCAATTACAACAGAGGTTCATTGTAAAAATCTCGAAAATCGACTTATCTCATTACATGATTTGGTATTATTAAGTAGATGCTCAATAGCACATATCTAAATTCATATAAACAAAATGCACAATATCAAATCAGATGACTATATTGAAAGTATTCTAACAAAACATATATCGTAATTTAGGATTTACCTGTAATAAAAACACACATCCTAGTACATGCAAGTGTTAATAATTTATTCGTTTCTTCAAATAAATTGATGTTTTACATAAACTTCCAACCAGATGTAACAAAAACAAACATCCTAGTACATGCAAGTGTGAACAATTTATTCGTTTCTTCAAATAAATTGATGTTTCACATAAACTTCCAACGAGATATTCATACACTTTTTTTCCCTAATTATATTTTCCAAGACAAGATATATTATCTATTAACTTAAAAAACCCACAATGTGCGATATCTAGTTTATTAGGGAATAAAAACTTTGACAAACCTAAAAGTATGTACAACCTACAAAAGTCACCGACATCCTTATCATTTTGACGTTTAACAAGTTCATTAAAAATAATTTCCAAAGTAACATGTTTCCCAGTAAATAGTCTCCTAGTATGACAATCAATGTCTGCTTCTACATTTTTGCCTACTACACGAAGTCCTAAACCTAAACACACATTTAACAGTGTAAAGCATACTATCTCAGACCTTATATTAAACCATCCTCTCTTTTCAACCCATCTACTTATTAATTCACTAAGCAATGTTCTACTAATTTTAACCTTTCTACCCAATGGCATCAACCATTTAAATGATGTTGACTTAATACGACCTATTTTCTCTGTTATAAGAATGTTATTTACTTCACCTAAATAATTTGTCCTACAAACATGTCGCAAATATACCTGAAAATCAAAATAAATAATTATAATTATCACAAAGAATATCCAATATTATACAAATAGATATAATATTCACCTTCTTAACATTTGAACATCCATCATCTACATTTTCATGTCTTTCTATTTCAAACTGCAAATACATGTACTGGGTAAACAAAATTGGAATTTAGATGAAACATTGTCCATTTTATTTGTTACATCCTCTGTCAATTTTTTTAATACTGTTAACCAGTCAGAAATCAGGTTAGATATAAATTTTACGACAAATTACTATAAATGTCAACAAACTTATCATATAGTTTATGATTGAGTGTACACTTTTAGAAACAATCTCATAGAGTATTGTCAAATTAAGTTCAAAGACAAGGGAATATAATCTGTTTTCATAATCCATGTGTCTGGGGTCTCTACCAAACACAAAAATGTCCATAATATTGTTTGATATTATAGAAATATGTTGGTACTTCATTCCTCTACAAAATCAACATCTCCCAAACAGATTACAACATTTTTCAACATTCTCACAAAACCAACTAGTCAGTTGATTTCTTCTTAAATGAAAGCCTTATTGAAATTTAGAAATTCTTTAAACGAAGTCCACATTAGAAAAACTCTACAAGGCACAAACAACCAACGGATCACAGTTTTCCCACAAATTCAACCCCACCTACACCAGCCATCAAACCTCATGACACACGAACCATCATCATGGTTCCTTATTCAAAGTCTGTGACAGTTCATTCTACCACATCAATTCCCTCAGCCCCTATAACACAAGCCAGTCCAGGGGAACAACCAAACAGGGATGGCAAAACGGGTCAACCCGCCCCGTTTTGGCCCGCCCGCCTTTGGCCCACCAAAAGCGGGGCAGGGCGGACTAACACGTTATAATCATGACAAACTGTAGACTTTGGCCCGTCCCGCCAAGGGGCGGGTTAGTGGGCTAGCAGGTCGGTCCGTCATAATTTAGAAAAAAATAATTTATTTTTTAAAATAATTTTTTTTAATAAATTTAATAATATGATTATTATTTGTTTGTCAATAATTCAATATATATATATATATATATATATATTATTTTAATTTAATAATATAAATCATTGTTTTAAGAAATTATAATTTAGAATAATAATAAAATTTACATAATAATAAATTATTTCAATTTAATAATATAAATCAATAATTGTTTTAAGAAATTATAATTTAAAATAATAATAAAATTTACATAATAATAAATTATTTCAATTTAATAATATAAATTAATACATTGTTTTAAAAAATTATAATTTAAAATAATAATAAAATTTACATAATAATAAATAATAACAAATATATATATATATATATATATATATAACATTAAAACTTATAAAATTTGTATTTTTCACCTAACCCAAATTTTAAACCACTCTTTTGTTATTTTTTTACCTTCGATCCCTGTTTTTACATAAAACTGACTGTGTTTTCCGTCAACTTTATATGTGTTGTGCATGCACTTTTTGTCTTGGCAACATTGTATTTGAAATATGTCCATAGTTGACTATTGTACATGATACTCACCAAAGAAGAAACACTCACAAATAAACACGAAAGAGGGACTGACGAACCTCAAAGAGAGGCAACAGAGAGAATAACCTTGAGAACAACCTTTCCAGAACATCAATGGCTATGGGCTCACAAATATTGGACCAATTTTCACTGGAACGCATTTGGATGTAATTTTATGTTCTTCAAAAGTTAAAAATGATAACAGATGGTGCTTAGCTAGGATCTTATGGTAGTTTTTTTTTTTCTACTTAAAAAATTATTTGATATTTTTACCATTACTTGTTGTTCCCATATCTTTATCTTAATGGCAATATCCAAGTAGTGTGTTGCAGTTGCTTTACATGATAGGAATATAATAACATTTGAAATTATTAAACATACTTTTGAGAAAAAATGATGGCATGTGTGGTGAGGTGGTGATAGGAAAATTGAAGAACCAAATGGGTAAAGAATTAGGTAAAAGGGAGGGTGATTATGCCACATCCCTGTCAGTTGGGTTGGCCAAACAAGAAAAGATGAGCAACTTTTATGCAGTGGAATGACTAATGAGGTACCAAGGCTAGGGTTTCCATAGGGCCATAGTGACCTATTTTTGTTTCCTATAAGGCAAATCTATGTCCCAATTAGGGTTAGGCTGTGATCTTGACCTACATAGACTCTCTCTCTCTCTCTGGTGTAGTCTAGCATTGTAGGTTGGTCCCCCCGCACCTTAACCCCTTTTCATTTCCATTATCATGCTAAGTATTGCAGTATTAGAAACCTTCACTGATGCTTACCTAACCCTGTTCCCCAATTTAATAACACCGAGATTGGCACCGTTCGTCAACCATCAAATCTCACCCTACTTTTTCTTTATAATAGTAATATTTCCATCAAGTTTCCGACTTTCTCACGAATTTAACTTAATCACCTTTGATCTGGAAGTGATGGTTCAATCTGTGATGATGAAGAAGGAAGATTGTGAAGGGTTGTTTTCGTATTCTTCATAGTTATTGCTTGCCAATCATATTCCATAATTCTCATATTACCACCAATGCCATCTCTATCATGCTCTTTTTCTTTCTTATTTACCAAAATACCATTTCCATGTCATACTTAAACGTTATTATAAACACTATTTAAGTAATTGTTTATAAATGTTATTTTTAGATAAACAATGTTGTTTATTAGAACATATGTTCTAAGATGATTTATATAAATATCATTATTTAAATAAAATGATTACTTTTTAAATGTTTCAAATATGAAAACATTTTTAAGTTAAACTTTGATTTTAATAACTTGGATATTTGAGTAATTTTTGTGGAGCATTTAAATTTAGATGACATTGATAAGTGCGTATAAAATAACTAAGTTAAAAAGTTTAGACCCACTTAAATAAAAGTTGCATGAGATGAGAAAAAATTGTTCTACCATCAACTCATGTGAAATTTATAAAAGTGTTATGAGATTAGGTAAAAAAAAGAAGAAGGTATTTTTAGAGGAATATGAAAAAAACAAGCTTACTTTTTTCCCGATTGTGTTGTTTGAAAATGGAAACCCTAATTGTTTTCCCTTTTTCCTATTTGTGATGCTTCCATTTGCAGCAAAACACAGAAGGTCCCGATGAGTGTTCTCTAGAAATGAAGTGAAAACAAAAACGTGTAAGAGGAAATCTATTCCTTTACCTACACATGCGGGCACAAAAATTGCTTGGTAGCACAAAACTCTATTTCTAATTATTACTTTCCCTACCAATCCAAGAATCTCTAAGTGGACTTCCAGTGTCAAAAACCTCTATCACTACTCTTCTTCCTACCCCCAAAATCCACCCTTTCTCAGTGCCACTATGCAAAACTACCCCTTGGTTAAAGACAACATTTTTCTATGGTAATGAAGGAATGATATAGTTTTGTCCATTATGGATTTTATTATTATTTTTTTCCCTTTCTTTCTTTTTAAAATTCAAACCATACATAACATTTGCATCAAAAGAATGGAAACTCATGTTCTGTTCCAATTCACTCCATATAATAAGATCTCCATTTACCTTCATCAGCAGCTAGCTCAATAAGATAAAGATCTTAGAACTTGTAACATAACCTTTTTCCAAGAACAAGAACCTCAATCTCGGAGCTTGTGACTTGTTCCAATGAGCATGTTAGGCCTGAGAGACCTAGTTCTCATAGCTCCAACCCCTTCCCTGCACCAAGGCCAACCCATTTCAGATAACCACACTCCCAACCTTCCTCTGCCTTCTTCAGCCGCTCTCAGTGTTGGCTTTGGCATTTTTCCTCTCCTCACTGCCACACCCTGTGTGCCACACCCTCACCAAAACAATGAGATTCAAGAGTGTGGTGGTGGTGGTGGTGGCGGTGGCAACACCAACACTAACACCACCACCAACTATTGGAACCTCAAGATGTTCCCAGAAGTGAATCCTCCAAAGAAGGGTGTGATCAACATGGATGATGATGATGACGACGACGAAGGGAGACACCGTCACCATAAGGGTGTGATGGAGAGTGAGGAAAACGGGATTTATGGACCTGACTTCAGAGTGTGTCAAGATTGTGGCAATAGGGCCAAAAAAGATTGCATCTTTAGAAGATGCAGGACTTGTTGCAAGGGACGTGGATATGATTGCAACACTCACGTGAAGAGCACGTGGATCCCCTCAATTCGCCGCCGGGAGCGGGAGATGGCGGTGGTTTCCGCCGGTGGTGGTAGTAGTAGTAAGAGGCCAAGGGCTTTAGTGGGGTCATCACAAAATGCCACTGCCACTTCTCATAGTTCCAACTCTAATGCTACAACCTCCAAGAGCTTAGCTACAATCTCTTCTCACCAAGGTGCTTTCACTCTCACTTTTACTTTCTCATTCATTTTCATGTTCTTACACTAATCAAGGAAATACTTTTCTACAGTTAAATGGATCAAGTAGTAAACTTCGGTGTAACTTGTTTATTTTTCTGTATGTTATTTGATGTCATATTAATCCTTATCAGTAAAACAACTTCATGCTATAATTCCTGTGCTTCTTAAAGCTAATTGGATGTGACTTATTGGAGCAATTTGATAGAATAAGTTGATGTTTAAGATGAATTTGAGGCAGCACATAGAGTTATGAGGTTGAAATGATTACTTTGAATAGCAGATGCTGGGTTCAAACAGTCTTTACCAGGTCATGTTCGTGCACCTGCAGTGTTCAAGTGTCACAGAGTCTCTGCCATTGGGAATGGTGAAGATGAGTTTGCATACTTGGCCACGGTGCAGATTAGTGGCCATGTGTTCAAGGGGTTTCTCTATGACCATGGAGTTGATGGGAAATTTGCAAACTCAGTGCCCTGTGTTTCTGAACTGCAACTTGGAAACAATTGCATTGGGAAGAACAGGGAATGTTCTTCTGCAATTGGAGTTCCAAATAACACTGCATTCCCTGCTTCTGCCAGTTGAAGATTTCTTCAGAGGTACCAATTTAGACTCTGTTTAATTACGATGAAAAAATCAACTGCATCATAAATAATATAAAACATTATTTTATAATCTGATTTTTGAATTTTGGTTAAACTTAATTTTTAACCCATAAAATGTGCATTGTAGATACAACTTTTATGTGATAAAGAATAAATTAAGAGTGGGAATGAGTTTTGAAAAAAGTGAGTTTGAGAAAAAGAAAGAGGAAGTAGAGAAAAGCAGTGATGGTGCAGTTCTCAATGTTATTGCATGCTTAGTCACTGATATTATTTATTTTATGTACTTTTTATAACACTGTTTTTATCTCTTTCTCTTTGGATTTATTACTATACTTTTTTTTTTAATATGATTTTTAAAATAGATTTAAAATTCAATTTTAAAAGTAGATTTATTATATATAAAGTTTTGTACATGTAACTCTTGTTTATGGCAATAACAGGTGATGGATGAAAAGAAGCATTCTTTAGCAAATTTTCTGGGAAAGTGAGGATGTATGCTAAAGTGGTCTTAATTCTGTAAATTTCTCTTCCAAAAATGTTTATTACACAAACCCAGATTGGGGATTTTATTTCCAATGCTTAATTCAAATTTCCACTTTATAATTCTAGATTTTACCTTAATTATCTCTTCATTTATGTTTTCGCGTGGTCGAATCTAAGATTCTAAATAGTAGATAATTTAAATAATATAAATTAATAATTATTATTATTAATTATTCACAAATTTATTATAGAAGAATTCAAATATTTAATATTAAGAAATAAAATAAAATATTTTTAGATACTTAATTTTAATCTTCATATTTATAATATCATTTATTTTAATATAAATAATTAAATTATTTAAATAATTATTATTGAATCTATTCTAAAAATAATATTATATAATTATATCTTATTATGTTACACATATCATATTTTAGTTCATAAATATTTTTCAGAATATAGTATTATATTTTAAATATAAAAATTAACATCTTTAAATCATTAAAATTAATATTATAATGAATACTCTCTTTGCTTCTGACACTATTATTATGTTTTAAGTTTTATCTTAATTATTTTTATGCTTATTTTTCATTTCATTATACCCACTTTTTTAAAACTTACCATTTCTTTAATATAAGAATTATAGTAAAAATATGGAAAGAATAAAACAAAAATCAATATGACAAAATATATATTTTAAATTTTAATTATCCTTAGTAAATTTTATTGCTTAGGTTTTTTTTTTTATGCATTTTACTATCATATAATATTTCAATTCTTGTATATTTTTCTCCTAAATTAAAATTTTAAGAGAATGGTTACGCGTCACACATAAATAAAACAATGAAAGCATCAAAGTTATTATGTCAACTTTTGAAAAGTGTTTTATAGTTTTTTTAAATTTCATTTCTAATGCATCATTAATTTATTTTTTGATTTTAATTCTATTATATACTATATATCTTTTTGTTAATGTATAATTTCTTTAAGTGAACAATAACCATGTTATTATTTTATACTATTCACAGTTTTATATGTAATGGGTATTTAGTAGTTTTATAATCTGAATTTATTAAAATAAAAATCTTAATATCTCATAATTTATTGTTACTAAATAACTCAATTAAATAACTCCGTTTTATTGTTATTAAGTTATCGTTATCAATAGTGTATGATAATTTTATTAATGTAATAGATTTAAATCGTTATACTACGTATGCAATGTATATTAATTATAAGACATATGTACGATCGTTTATATATTCATTTTTATTTTAATCATTATTGTTTATAAAATATATTTAATAACTAAATAAAGAAAACCATAACAAAAAATTTTTACTTCTTAATCTATATCTTAATTAAATTAAAATAAAATATGATAATTTATTTTTAAATTTATCAATGTATTTATAAAATCATTATCTTTAATCACTGGGTAATAGGTTCAACTGGAAATCCAATTAAAAATGCTATGTTGTTTTTAAATAATTGGATTTTAATTAAATTGTGACAAAATCGAAAAAATTGGTAGGATTTTTTTATCTTTAATAAAAAATTATCTTTTATAAAAGATATAATATTTTTAATTTTTTTAATTTCATATTAATTCTATCAATTTTAAATAATAATTATTTTATTATATTTTTTAATATTTATTTATTTATAATATATTTTATATTTATAATTTTCAATGATAAAAATACCAATAACCTTATTTATATATATATATATATATATATATAAATATTATTATTAAAAAATTATTATATACTTATTATTATTATAAAAATATCATTTAATTAAATCCCCGATTGAACCTTCACCTTCTCCACCCATGTACTCATATCCAATTTAAAAAAATTATTATTTTTTATGAAATATATTTTAAAGTAACCAATTTAAAATAATTAAATAAATTTTTAGAATAAGTATGAAATATAACATTATGTTATCATTGTAGTATTTGTGTATTAATAAAATAATTAAGATTTTTTTAAAACTAACTATTGGTTGAAGAAAAACATTATTATTATTATTATTATTATTATTATTATTATTATTATTATTTGAATAAAAATAAATTTAAAATAAAGTATAATAATATAAGTACATGGTAATTTATTTATTTATTTTATCCTTTATTAAGAATTTAAAATAAAAATTTATGATAACTAGAATGCCATGCCAGTACTTAATATTAAAATTGTAAAAAAATGTATGTAATTATCCCAATGATATAAATAACATAAATGTTAGTAATTTAATTCTTCATCAAATTCAATTAGAATAATTTAATTCAACTGCAGCTATTTTATAATTAGAGAGATAGATAGATAATATATAAGCATTAAAATCCAGATTAATAAAATGTATATAAAAGAATAGTTTAATTGGAATATGTTATTTTGTACATTGTCATTCAATTGTGAAAAGCCATATAATTAAAAATTTACTTTTTTAACAAGTCATATTTAAAATAATAATCAGCATAAAAATCTTTACAACAATAATATATCAAAATTGAATGTGTCTAACATTACTCTTGGGAACAAACAAATATTGAAAAAAGTGGACTTCTGAAACTGTTGTTTTATGTTAAAGGTGCACTTGTGAAACTACTGAAAATCATTAACATACCCCTGATGCCACTGTCTAAAACCTTCATATGTTTGTAGAAGACAACACAAAAACCATATCATGCAAATGCAACAGGCTTAAGAATTTTCATTTACTTTTTTTACGTACAAAAACCTACTGTTCTCATCTTCTCTATGTACATTTTATCCAGTGCTGAATTCCAGAGGCCTCATTTGGGAGACACATGAAATGTATGCAGAAAAGAAGAATATCACTGTTGTGTACCCTTTTGTTGATTCATTTACAAGCTTTGATTAACTCTTAACAACATTTGATCTACACTATACCATACATTTGTTGTGTTGTGACTACAAATAAAGTAAATTTCACTAGAATTAAGGGGTGGATGATGAACTAGAAAATGTACAAGGTTTAGAAAATGTGTATCTCCTGTTTGGACAATCTAGGTATGAATATCAATGTGTTAGTTAGAACTCTGTCATTTCCTTGTTAGTATACATGATGGCCACTGGATGCAAGATGAATATTTAGCATCAAAACCTCACCTTCAATTGTCATCTACAAAAACTCTGAAGACGAAATCACGAAAGCGTTTAGAGTATAGCCTTGGATCAACAGCAGAGATTGATGATGGATCATATTGGAATGATTTGTAAGCATGTTCAAGTTTTTTACTGATATCATAGTCTTGCAATATGTCTATGATACCAAAAAAGATAATGATCTCATAAAACTCCCCAGTTGGATCTCCAACCAGCTGAGGAATGTCACTGGTACTTTTTCTCATAGTCATTTCAGCCCGCGCTGGCATGTTTACTCCTAATTGAATCCATCTGAGACATAAACACTTTCAGCAAATGCAGGGAAAAACACTTCTTAACTGAAGAGCATCAAAGTATGATAAACCAAGGGTTTGAATAATAAGGTAGGAGAGAAAAACGAGAAGAAAAATAAGAAATGAGATTCTCCATAAGTTCAAGTCATCTTATGCTCAAGTTAAAAAATAAAAGTTTAGACAAGTTACATCAGTGAACTTCTACAAATTCGTTTATAGAAAAGATCATTGCATTTTTTGTTCTTTTTCTCTCCTAAAAATGCTTATGAAGGAATTTGTCCAAATATATCCATACTAACATTTATGATGGTATCAGGGGATGAAATCTGTCCCCAAAAATGATTTGATAGAAAATAAACAGCCTCACTGATCTGAGATACACTAGACTGCAACTTGAATTGGTAAAAGGGTTCAGTAACTGAAAACTAATATGCCTGCTCTAGTTGAATTTGTGTTTGTTTTAGTCAAAACTAAAGTTAATAAAACAATTGAAACTTCTGCCAAGATGAATTTATTGACTATGTACCGGCTAGGATCTACAAAAATATGATCTGTATCCACTCCTGAAAGACGGGGCCTTCCAACGTCTACATCAGTTGGGGTGAAACAACTGGCTGAACTGTGACGACTAGGAGTAACAGTGCCAAGAGATGTTGTGTCCTTGAAGTGAAGACCAACCAACATACTGTAATCCATAATCCTCTCCTGCTCAAGAAAGTCACAGTCCCTATCCACTTGCCTGTATAACAACATCTTAAGAAATATAACCAACTTGCAAATACTCCATGAGATCAATGTCAAGTCACAGAAGCCAAATTGTAGTGCATCTAATGTAGACAATTAACCAACTTATGCAACCTTATCAGTGAAAGTTCCATATCTGTTAGATAGTTTGTGTGAAGATTGTATCTTTCCACTGAGCTTATAGTTTATTTACTTTATTGTCATAGCAGCTAATAAAATGTGCTTTAATGAAACAAATGCTTGCATAGACAGTGTCCAACATGCTATACACACAAAATGGTGAGAAAAGAAGCAATAAGCAAGGATTTGTCACCTGCAGAATTCTTGGAACCAAGACTTCTGTAACCGGAATATAAAATTTAGGTCAAGGTCCTTGAGTGTTGTTGTAGGCTCTATTTCTGATTCGGGTTTATCAGTAGTGCGACCAAAGGTTGAACCTTTTAAGTCAAAGCGCCTGTGGATGGCATACTGAGAACAAAATAGGTTTCCCATGATGACAAAACGAACCTGAAATTGTTGGCAGTGTAATTAATAGTACTAAAAGCTTTAATACCAAAACACAAGTTTATACACGCGTCAGTACTAGTGTACTACCTTCTTCTGTGCAGACCCGGTTAGTTTAACACAGTGGAGGCCAAAGAACTTGGTAACTAGAGTGTTCTCAAAAGCCCGAACATGTTTGTAATAAGCAGGAAGCATTCTCATAAAAACCTTCAATCATGTAATAAACATAGGATTACATTAACACTCAAGTATATTACAACCTTTATTAAGGACTAATTGATAAGCGTCATGCCAAACTGGAATAATACAGGAATACATATCTATGGCAAACTTACAATATAGTAACTGTTGTTCTTTTGTAATGCATAGATCCATTGTACTACTGGACTCATAACTGAAGATTACATGTGTGAAACTATCTAATTATGAAATTAAGAGAATATATATAAACTAATGGCTTAGTGTATAATATCTGACCAACTAAAAGGGACTCACTTTTGCTTCGGCTTTTTTCATGGTCTTTATCATGTAACGATCATCATTTGTCAAATAGAAAAAGCTTCCACTTTTCCCAGGGGATGAGAGCTCTCGAAGAGCCTCATTCCCACATATTGAAATCATATAATCAGCTGCGTCAACTTTGAACAATTTTCTGAGAGCCCTAGAAATGTAAATGCAATCAGTTTGAATACGATTATAGGCTATTTGTTATACAAGATTATGAAACAAACAGTAATAGCAACCATGAATACGGTATTTCCTAACCCCCTTTGTTCTTCCTACAGACATATCGAAAAGGTTTTTCCAGTGCCACTTTCTAGAGAAATAAAAACCTTCCTCAGTGCATTTCACCTACCTCTTTGTGCCTCAAAAAGAAGGTTATAAATTTTCAAGACCACTCTCAACAAGTTAGCACATAGCAGATTCTGTTACAAAACATGGTTCACCTAATCAAGACCAAAGTTTGCTGAGATGAAAAACAAGACTATTAAGCCCTGATGTCTACCTGAACACTACCGGGCAGTAGTCTTTCCATCTAAATTCACAAGACTGGTGAGGTGGTGTGTGCTTGGATCCTTCCGGTGGAAATCTTGTCCATACTTTTTCTTTGGGATCAAAGGCAGAAGACTTCAAATCAAGAGATGCAGTTGGAGCAGGTCTTCCAACAGAATGTCTGTGCTATGGCACAAGAAGTTAATAATGGTGTAGCAAAAATTAGAAGGAAAATTTATTTGTTAGAATGTCATGTACATCATTGCTCCTTTCTACATAAGATACCATTTAACTCGACCAATGTTCACTTTTTAGCAAATACATTTTGTCATTCAAAGGAAAAAAAAAAGGAAGATAAAAATTTACATTGTTAAATGGATGACAGAAGAAAAGGCTCAGCCAGACCATGAAAGTGATACTAAATTACATGACAAAAAGAAAAGAAATATGATCAGTACCTGATACCTAGCTGCAGATTCAACATAAGCTCATAATTCTTGTGCCCTTTGGATATGGTCTGTCCTTGTCTCTTGGGATTCTTTATTCTCAACCGCGCAGAACTGTTTCGAGCCGTAGCCGCAAGATCATCCATGACACTAAATCCAGATTTCCTACCTACATGAAAACCAACAGCATCATCACAACTGTAACTACTAATCCTTCCATCCTCTGAAGTCCACCTTGGTCTCCCACTCCCATCAGTTCTTTTCTTTTGCAGTGGCTTATGATCCTCCTCTCCACACCCAGTCAATGTCTTCTGTGAAGGGAAAATTGACACCTTCTCACTAGAACAAATCTGGCAATCACTCAGCTCCACATTGTACACATTCTGAGGATCCCAATCCATAGGACTATCAGAAGAACTTGAAGGATAATAAGTCCCACTCTGCTCATTTGGATCTTGACTCCAAACCCCAACATAGAAACTCCCATCAACCCACCTGAATGTGCCATTCCCCTTAGGCAACCCCTCCTCCCAGCAACCATCATACCTATTCCCATTGCTCCACATCATTGTCCCATTCCCACAAAACACCCCACTCTTCCACTGCCCAATGTACTGGTTCCCGTTGTTCCACTGGTACCTTCCATGCCCATTCTGCAACCCCTTCCTCCACTCCCCATCATAGAAATCTCCATTGGGGTAGCTCTCAGTCCCTTCCCCATGCTTCAAGCTCATTACCCAAGACCCCTTGTAGGTGTCCCCAGAAGAACCAATATAAGTGCCTTTCCCATCCATGTTGTTACCACTCTTGAAGTCACCCTCAAAGGTAGCACCACTAGGCCAACTAAACCTCCCCTTCCCCAAGGTGCTTCCTCTGACCCATTCACCAACATACACGCACCCATCTGTCCACATGTATTTTCCTTGGCCATGGGGGAACCCGTCCAGCCATAGGCCTGTATAGAAATCACCATTGGGGAGAATCTTCTCAACGTGACCCACCTCTTCTGCTGACTCATCATCAACCAAATGGGCCACAGACATTAAGGTGCTATTTGCCCTTTTCTTTCTAACAATCGATTTGCGAACTGTTGCTTCCCCCCAGGATTTCACTATGCCGTTGATCTCTTTGCTCATTCTCTTGAAGGTATCCACTTTGATTCACCTTCCCTCACACACCCACACCCCTATTCTCCTTTATCCATTAATACCCACATCACAGATGCTCCTAAATTGACAACAAAGTTTTTAATGAATGCAATGTGGCAGAAAGAATTTCAGGACCAACCCCGGAACAGAAAAACACAATGGAGGGAACCAATCAAATCGTGAAAATAAACCCAAGACAAAAAAAAAAAAAGACGAAACTTTTGTGCTTTCGGCGTTGTGTTATTTACGTGGTTGTGCAAAATGGGGTAGACTTCAGATTTTGAAAGAAACAACAATGCAGTTGAATTGACGAGGATATCAAAAGGTCGGTTGGAAGACTGGTCTTTTTTCTTACTTGTTTTTGTGCAATTTTTCTCTTTTTTTTTTCCTTATTTTGTTTGTTTTTTTGGTTTTGTTGAGTTGGAATTGGATCAAAGGGATTGAACTCATGGGTTCTACGGATTCCGATTAAGGCTCCGAAAAGTATTAGGAGACCAGACAATTACCCGGAAGCAGAGAATGGTGGGGGTGACAAATATGCCATTTTAGCGTGAGTGATAATCTAGTCCTAATTATAGTGTTTTTGTTTTAATCATAGATATGTTTTTAATGCCAATTTTTTACAGCATTTTTGGTTGCTACTGGATTCTGTGAGTTCCTCATGGCTCTTAAAGCCAACAACAACCCACTCACATGCACCATGAAAGAGATTCATCATGCACAATGAGAAACTGTAATGGTTATATTATAGAGAAAGGATTCATTAAAAAATATAAATTATTAATTGAGTTGTTAAAATTACAAGAATAATTTTGTCTTTGAAATTGTAATAATAAAAAATTTGATCCCTTACAAGGGTTTAAGCTAATTCACTACCCAAAAACAAAATATAAACATCCCTTATAACATATTCAAAATTAAGATAATTATTTTTACTGTTTATTTTCTTTATTCTTTTAACTAAAATACACACTGTAAGTTAGAAATCAAACTCTAGTCCATTTTTTACTTTGACTACAAAACCCTGTGGTAGAGCATTGTTTTTGTTTTCCCAAATTATAATTTGTTTTGTAATCTTTATTCACTTTAATCTAACTGTTTTTTTAATTTATTCTTAAAAATACAACAAGTTTTTATTTTTTTTAACAATAAGAAAATTTGTATCATTCTATTAATTTTATTATTTTACAAGTAAATTTCGTTTTAATACTAATTACCAAGTATTGTACATATACTTGCTAGTTTATAGGCAGTGAATGGGACAAAACTGAAAAAATTGACAGAAAATATCATTCTGAAATAAGATGTGAAGATCATAAAGCTAAAGAAATCAATGTCTGTGTATAAAAAAAATTTACAAACAAATGAATAAAATTGATGAGTAAATGAAAAATAAAAGAATGATCAGTGCATCATGATTGTGAATTCATGAAAGCTGAGGAGGCCATCACCATTCAAATCAAAGTGGGAAATCATGGCAGTGCATTGGTCCATGGATTTGGATTCCCCTAACCTAAGAAGCATTCTCTGCAGGCTTTTGGGAGTTATAAACCCTAACATTTCAGTGTCATTATACATCTCAAAAGCCTCTCCCAGATCCTTCAACTTCTCTTCTTCTCCTCTTCCTTCAATCATCTTCACCAAATCCTCCAAATTCAGTAACCCATCTCCATCGGAATCCAATTCCTCAATCAATGACTCCACTTCTTTCAACATTACCTCGTCGTCACCCATCATCCCTAGCCGCGTCTTGAGCTCCCATGGGGAAATCTTCCCATCCCCATCTTCATCAAAGTACTTCAGAACTCGCTCAAACTCCATGTTCATCCTCATATTCTCACAACAAAGAAAATTGATGCACAAGATTTTGTCTTTATTTATGTGCGTGGGACTAATTGTGTTGTGTGGAATATGTTTTGGAGGTGATGTTTATATATGTTCGGAATGGGATCGGAAATTTGAAGATAGAAAAGAGGAAGGAGAAAGGAAAAAAGGATTTAACGCGCCGAAGAACAGCGTAAGAGAAAAATAGATAAAAAATACGTGTCTCTTGCGTTACCAACTACGCATACATCACAAAGTCAATTTTGTTATTTCACTATGATTTTATATGATATTTATTATAGATGTAAGGAATTATAATTCGTGGAGAAAAATAATACGAATTTAAATTTATCTTAGTAAAATTCACCTATCATCAAAGAAGACAAATTAACAAATTATAAAGACCAAAATAAAAACTTGTTAATTAGAAAATCTTCTTTATAGGATGCAGGGTTAATCATCATGCATGGCATGGAATAGGAGGAGTAACAAATATGACAAAAGTTTTGCACTTGTCTTCCTTCTTCTTCAAGGATCTCAACATATCTTTTGTATTTTCATAGAGGGTCTGGATTTTCTTGGCGATAAAATCCAGTTCAAGGACCTTTTCTGAGTTCAAACCTTCTTTTAGGAGAGAAAAGAGGTTTGCATGATTCTCCTCCAAATTCATCATCCTCGTCGTTGGAATCTCTATTGTGATCACAACAGTCATAGTCCAAGTCACACATATCAAGATCTGCATCCCATATAATAAAGATAGATTTTTCATTGGGACAAACACTTGCAATAGGAATTTTGCCTTCTTTGATGATAGGTGATATCATAATTGATTGGAATATGGAGATACTTAAGCTTAGAACATCTTCAGGGTTTTTGAAGATGGTTTTGGCAGTATCATCTACATATCTTCTGAAAGTGACTTCAGTAAATTGGATTGGTTTTTTTATTGATGTGGTGTTTTTCATAGTTGGTGACCCATTGCATAGTGATAAGCTTTTGTAGTTGTTATTGGGAGATGTTTTTGGGGATCTGAACTATGAAAGATATTTCTTCTTTATTATTAGCTAAGATAAATAGAGTTTCATCTTTACATGGGGATAAGATAAGATTTATGGCATGATCTTGCAACTTGTAAATTATCTGATGATGAAAGGTGGTTAACCGTGCATCAACTACTTGTTCAACTCTTGTAATTTGAATTTAAACTTTCAATCTTTGAAATATGGTAGGATCTTTCAAGCTAACATTAAAGTTTGGAAAGATGGTCAAAACTATACTTCCAACATGGAGAGTGGTTAATAAAGTACTAATTATAATATGTTCATAGTACAGATAACTAAAATCTAGAAGAGAGACTCTGGCAAAAACAAGTAATTCACGTCTCTCATGAAGAGAAATGACTAATCTAATAACTCCATAATGAAGGTAAGTGTAATCTTCATTTTGCTAATACTTGATAAGATCGTTGAAAATTTTAATATTGACCTATTATTTTCTTGTGGTAGAGGTTAAAGAACACTTCTCAATTCGAAAAAATTCTGTGTATTATTTGCCATAATACCTTTTAATGAAAATAAATTTAAAAATATTTTATAGTATGATCTTATTTATCTTTTATATAATAAATTATATATATATTATTAAATTTAATTTAAATTGAATTGAATTTTTAAATCAGAAATAAATGCATTCACAAGTCTAGTTTTAAAACCTTAATTTTAAGATAAATGTTATCATGTAAATAGGAAATTTTTTTATTGAAATTTGTATATAAATGTATATTAATTACACATTCTAAGCATGTGATGTATATGAATGTTTTAAACATTTCTTCAACAATCCAATGGATTTGTAAACCCATCTATCACTTCCAAAATAAATTTTAATTAAATTGATATAAAATAAAAAATCAATATAAAAATAGTAAAATCGAAAAAATTGAATCAATTTTTAAGTGATACTGATTTTACTATTTTTTTAAAATAAAATATATTTTAAAAAATATATATAACATTTATAAATTTTATTTTTTTTTATTTATATTTTATATTTATAACCATTATTATAATTTGTTACAATTATGATAACTATTTTTATTATTTTAAAAAATATATTAATATTAATAAATTTATTATATAATTATCATATAAATTATACAAAATCAGATTGATATAACAAAATTGACTTTGTGTGGTATGCATAGTTGGTAACGCAAGAGACACGTATTTTTTATCTATTTTTCTCTTATGCTGTTCTTCGGCGCGTTAAATCCTTTTTTCCTTTCTCCTTCCTCTTTTCTATCTTCAAATTTCCGATCCCATTCCGAACATATATAAACATCACCTCCAAAACATATTCCACACAACACAATTAGTCCCACGCACATAAATAAAGACAAAATCTTGTGCATCAATTTTCTTTGGTTGTGAGAATATGAGGATGAACATGGAGTTTGAGCGAGTTCTGAAGTACTTTGATGAAGATGGGGATGGGAAGATTTCCCCATGGGAGCTCAAGACGCGGCTAGGGATGATGGGTGACGACGAGGTAATGTTGAAAGAAGTGGAGTCATTGATTGAGGAATTGGATTCCGATGGAGATGGGTTACTGAATTTGGAGGATTTGGTGAAGATGATTGAAGGAAGAGGAGAAGAAGAGAAGTTGAAGGATCTGGGAGAGGCTTTTGAGATGTATAATGACACTGAAATGTTAGGGTTTATAACTCCCAAAAGCCTGCAGAGAATGCTTCTTAGGTTAGGGGAATCCAAATCCATGGACCAATGCACTGCCATGATTTCCCACTTTGATTTGAATGGTGATGGCCTCCTCAGCTTTCATGAATTCACAATCATGATGCACTGATCATTCTTTTATTTTTCATTTACTCATCAATTTTATTCATTTGTTTGTAAAAATTATTTATACACAGACATTGGTTTTTCATAGGCTGTGTCTTAGTATGATATTTTGTGGCACTTTTCATTTTGCACAAATTAGCAATTATCAACACAATATGCATGGTAATTTTATATCTAAATGAAATTTTCTGATAAAACTAAAATAAATAGAATGATACATTACATGATTTAATTATTAAAAAAGTTATTGTAATTAATAAGAATAATTTCAAAATATAAGGCTAACTGGAATAAAAAAATCATGAAAAAAATTGTAATGTTAAAAAATAAACAAAACTCTGCTGTAGTGTTTTTTTTAATCCATCGTTCAATTTTTCGGTTAGTGCAATTTGCTTTGATAAATGGATAAATTAAAAAAAATGATTATGAATAATTCCTTTACTCTTTCGTATGAACTCGTATTTTGTAAGACCATTTTAATTAATTTATATATATATATATATATATATATATATTAATTTAGAATTAAATATACAATTTAATATAATTTTATTATTATTATTAAATTTATTTCTAAATGATAATTTTAATTGAATTTTATTTTTTTAATAATATTAAAGTCATTAATTCATTCATTATCTTAACACATATATTATTACTTACACATTGACACATTCGTTGATTGATGTATAAACTATAAACTATTTACTATATTAGGTTAAATGAAAATTATTTATTTCCTTATTTAAATCTAAAATTTATTCATATTCTAAGTTTACATCGATAATAAATAATAACACTAACAACAAATCATATTGACGAATGAATATCTTCTAAATAAATCAAAGAAATATTTATTTTGTTAGAATGAACATCATCATCATAATCATAATTTATTTTGTAAAATTATATTTTTTATATAATATGCATATTTTTCTCATTAATAAATTCATATTTTTTTTAATAATTTAATATATTTAAAATTATTTAATATTATAGACGTCTAAATAATAATTAATTATTTTATTAAATTTTTAAATATTAAATAAAACTTTAAAAATAAAAATATAATTTAAAAATATATAAACTGATATTATCTGACAAATTTAATATAAAAAAAAAACTAAAATCGTCAAAAAAATTGATAATTTTAATATACAAGAAATTAAATTAAATTCGTCGACGTTAATTTTTTAAAAATTATATAAAAGTCGTTGATTGAAACAACAATTCAAAAAAAAAATGTTCACACAAAGGAGCTGCACATTTGTGTATGACTTCAACCAACTTATTTTTTTTCATTAACGACTTCTTCGTGGAGTTATATATCAAAATACAACTTATCCCTATCTTTTTTTTTTTTAATTTACTCATTTTAAAAATAAAAAAAAAACAAATTGCACCACTTTAATCCATTTGCCTCTGAAATATAGGGTTTTTATCTCTTACTATAAGGTGGTCTTGGTACGTTGTTCTGGGTGAAAACAAAAAGGGAGAGTATTGTTAGCCCAATTCAATTCATCTGTTGCCCCACATTAATTGGGCTGAGGTGTTTCTAAAGCCCAAAGAGATCTCCCTACTCCTCTATATGCTTAGTGTTATAACTCGCCTATGTGAAAAAAATATGAATAAACTTTAAAGAAAGAAAATCTTAAAAATTAAAATTAACTTATATTTTAGATATTTTTTAATCTTGTGCATAATTTTAATTCACTGAGTATTTTTTTTTTGTTATGAGTCATTCTAAATAAACTTTTCTAAAATTATTACGTTATTTGGTTTAAAAGAAAAAAATTATCTTTAATTTTGACCTAATAAAAATATATGCATTATCATAAAAACATTTTTTTTATATATTAAAATATTTTGAGATATTAATTAGTATAGCACCCATAGGAAAATACCTTAAATTAAAAAAAAAATGTTGGAGAATCATTAGTAACAAAAAAAAAAAAACACCTAACTCAATTAGTGTAATAAAGGTCACCAACTTCTATTCCTAACTACCAATAAATTCACACCTAGCAAACTCACACCACTATTGTTAAACCTTAATAAGAGCATGAAGAAATTATTTACCAGGAAAATCTAAAATGCCTTCTAAAATTTTGTTGGAGGTAGGGTTCCTGTGAAACTCCTGTTTACTTTTGTGCTTAATATATTTACACTCTTTATAAAGAAATATGTTGAAATTATGATGATATCATTTTAAATATGAAATAAAAATCACATGGGATATACAGATGAATAATTTATCATGAATACATTGTATAATTTGTTATAATAATTCAAAATTTGAACAAACACAAATAACTTGTACTCTATTTTTTACATAAAATTATTTAATATTTTTATGTTAGAGAAAATGTTTAGTTTTAGCAAAATTATAAAAAGAAATAAATTAGCTGTTTCATGTCACATGAGTTGAAAGGTTTTTTTTCTTTTTCTTTTTCCTTTTCTTTTTAATTAGTCCCCACCAAAGATAATAATTTTCGAAAAAAATTTAATCCTCACAAGAATCTAAAAAAATTGCAACTTTCCCATTTCACTTCCTATTAAAGGGAACTTTCTTTTTCTTAAGCCCACAAAAAATAATGCCTCCACTCCTATTTTTCTTCCAAATAAATAATAATATAATTCCTTGTTATATTGACCTCTCTTTGTTTTCCTCCTCTATTTACTCTTTCCTACCATGACATGCTCTGTACCAAACGTATGTATTTCTAAATAGAGATCATGGAATCACTTGTAACATTTGCAGTCCAAGATGAAGATTGAGTTATATTCAAAATATTTTAATTTTTTTTTTTCTGGTTGATTGTTTCTGTCATGTATCATGTACTAATTAAAGTTTAGGAAGAAAAAGTAGCATCTAACAGTGCTTAGTGTTCACAAGTTAACTAGTAATAGGATTAAAAGGGGTTTTTTTTCTCAAAGGTTATGATTGCACTTACTTTTAGCACCAGAGAAAGGAGGTTGATTAATCTGGTTTAAGTTAAAGCTGCACTTTTATCCTAGACAGTCAAAATTCATAAAGTTTAGTAACCCAGTCAAGTAATTTGTTGTCTTGTGCAAATGTTGGAGTTTACTATCCCATGATGGACACACATGGGATTGTATTCAAATTCTGTCATTTTGGATGCCATGGATCCAAAATAGTAGTGTACTACACTGCTGAAGAGTTTGATTTTCTGAATGAGATAACCAGGATGCACATGACTTCATCTCAAACTTTTTCAAGTGCCAATAGCAGTAGTGAACTCACATGTGACACTACCTATGGCATAGATTCTCTTGGTCCCGTCAAAGATGTCTCTATTCACTTATATAATACAACAATGTCCCCAATTTAGTTCCTTCAAAGCTTAGCTTGATGCCACTACCAGGGTCTTTATCAAGGGATTTGAAAGTGAAGTGAAGAAAATGGCCATAATAATGAGAATATAATCTCTTCCTGAAATTCAATGTTCCGTGTTCTTGAACCTCACTGATGAGAGATCAAGATCTCACTCAAAATATTAAATTTTTATAGCCTATGAAACAACCATCTCACTTGTCCACTTAGTGGGTGTCTGTATGTGGTTCTGCGTGTAACCTCTCATATTTTAAATTCATGTTACCGACACAAGTCGGTTTCAGAGCAGTTCAATCTTCTGGTATGATTAATTCCCATTTTCTGGGGGTCCTACACTGCAAATAATAGTGCTGCTTTGTATTCAAATGAAAATAGAACCTTTTTAATTAACAATAAGAAATGATGATGATCAAGAATCTTTCACACTTTTCTTCAACAAATCCGCTTCTGGGGTCTAATCATTTTGGCACTACTACATGAGATTTTAATTTACTTTACCATATATATGGTGCATGGACCTAGGTTTTCTTTTGTTTAAATAAATACTACAACCCATATATAGCCCCATTAAAATATAGTATATTCCTACACATACTAGAGAATATGTCAGTTGGGATCGGAACAAGTTTGTTTACAATAAAAGACTGAAGTTTATGTCACAGACAGTGAATTTGACCGTGTAAGATTTCGTTACACAGTGCACATTATGTGTATGTATATATGTGTAGCCGAAACAATTTGGTGAAAAGGGAAACCTATTGTAAAGGCTCCAAGCTTCATCTAGGAATGGATCTAATCTTACACAGCTTGCTTGTATAATGATTTGTAATAATAATGATGCAGCATAGCAGATATAAGGCCTAGCTAGAAAAACATACAACACCACCCGTGAAAAGGTAAATCCAACTATAGAATAAAAGGGGACAACAATTCAGCTGAAATCACGGTTTCTGGTTTGGTGCTATGCTTGCTTGTCTTTTTTGCAAGAAATTAATTACCTGATCTATGTGCTTCGTCCCCAAGAATAGGTCATAAAAACTATTCCCTCTCTTGCAGTTAAAATGTGATGAGAAATCAATAATGGATATTCTGAAAAAGTGTTCCAACTCCTATCTATAGTGTGCATTATGGTACTTCCACGCCCCCACATTTGCACCATCCTTTCTTGCCTTAACAACCAAACAGCACTTCACTTTGGTTTGTGAAAGACACAACACTTTTTCTCACTCCATAACTTTTCAATTATGTATGGTTTTATTAGTTTTACATTCTAGCATAGTAGCATCCCCAACACTGCAAAATCAAACACACACTATTATTAAGCATTTATCTGTCATAGCTAGTTGATTAGTCCCCCAGATAGATGAACCCAAATAATTCTGCATCACTGGAAAGGCACGTATCTCTCATTATCATCTAGCCCCAACCTACCCTTTTCTTCCCCAACTGAAAAAATTGGTGTAAAATTATGTAGATAAATTGTTAAAACATGATTGTTTAGAAATACATGTTTCTACAAGATACATGTCCAAGATACAGGAAGGTGTAATTCCCATGTTGAAATTGTGATACAGGAAATAGGCAGAGTAGGCTACAAAACCAAATGGAGTACAGTCTGTTACCTCCCACTTACTTCTAAATAACTCTACTTGTCACCCCCACAATCTTAATACCACTAAGTGTAGTGACCCAAGCCCAAAAACAATCTTTTGCCATAAAAATACAAATAAAAATAAAAAAAGTTAATTTTTTTTTTCCTTCTACTATATATAGACTAGTGAGGACTCTGCTGAAAGCACCAAAATCCCACCACCAAATCAGTAGCCATGAAAACCACATTCTCACTCTCTCCTTTATTCCTGTTCCTACTCTTCTCCCTAGTCCAAGGGCTGAATCCCAAATGTGACACCCAAGACCATGGCTCAACCCTGCAAGTTTTCCATGTGTTCAGCCCTTGTTCCCCATTCAGGCCATCAAAGGCACTTTCATGGGCAGAGAGTGTCCTCCAACTGCAGGCCAAGGACCAGGTCAGGCTGCAGTTCCTGGCTAGCTTGGTGGCTGGGAGGTCAGTTGTGCCCGTTGCCTCAGGCAGACAGATTATTCAGAGCCCAACTTACATTGTGAGAGCCAAAATAGGCACCCCACCACAAACCTTGCTCATGGCCATGGACACCAGCAATGATGCTGCTTGGATTCCTTGCACTGCCTGTGATGGCTGCACATCAACCTTGTTTGCTCCTGAAAAGTCCACCACTTTTAAGAATGTCAACTGTGGTGCTCCTCAATGCAACCAGGTTAACCATCTTCTTTACTTCCCCACATTTTTCTGATTCTTGTCATTTTTCTCTTCTGTAAATTTCACCGACATCTACAGATTTGTTTAGAAAAGCCTCTATAGTTTGTTTTGCTTATAAGATCATGACAATGTAATTTTTTCTAATAATAATCAAAAGGGCTGAGAATATTAGTGTAGTTTTTCTGTTTTTGTTTTCTCCTCCGAATTCATTTCAGACTCCGTGAGTAGAAAGAAAACCAAGCAATATAATGTCACGTAGATAAAACTTTTGAGATAATTTTTCTTTCTCTTTTTATCCGAAATGTTATCCTGATTAGACTTAACACGAGGAAAAACCAAAAAATCAAACACAGCACGCCAATATCCAAATTCATTTTACAGTTTTATGGGTGTGACGATTGATTAGCTTATAATTATTTCTTAAAGTAATTGGATGTTTATAATGAAGTGTTTATGTATAATATTTTTGTTTTATTCAAACAAAAAATATTCTCAGGCACTTTCACCATTATTCAATAGGTGATGATGCGAGGGAGAAAAAGAAAAAATTGTAAAAATCAATGCTCTTAGTTCAAAAACTTAAAAGCAATGAAAGCAGTGACCTTTGACACTCACTTATGCTAAATTCTTAATTAATTATTATTTTTTATCACATCATTTTTCACCTTTTATCTTTCTTTCACTGTGTGTCTTATTTGGTGTTGAAAACACTATGTTCCAAAGCATCACGTGACCTCTTTTCCCGCTAGAGTACAATATTGTGAATGCGTTTTTCGGAGTAGAGTGCATAGAAAACGGTGATAATTGAAGGTCGTGATGATTGATTTTTACAGTAGAGAGGGAAGAAGGAGAAAGAGAGTGGAATGATTCTCTTGGATATCATAACCTAGAAAAAAACAGGCATGTCCTTGTCCCATAGCGTGTGGGGTTGACTTCTTGTGTCAATTTTCCAACCCATGTTCCAAAATCAACAAAACTTTGCCAGACAAGGAAGGGTTCACGAGACTTGTTTTTTATTCCAAAGCTCCAATTATTTCTTGTAATGTTAGGTTTTCAAATTTTGATGACCTTGTGACCTGAAAAATTTTCAGGTGCCTAACCCCAGTTGCGGAACCAGCTCGTGCAGCTTCAACTTGACTTATGGAAGCTCCACCGTCGCTGCTAACGTCGTCCAAGACACCGTTACTCTCGCCACCGACCCTATTCCTGACTACACCTTTGGTTGTGTTGCGAAAACTATTGGGCCCAGTACACCCCCACAGGGGCTGTTGGGCTTGGGCCGAGGTCCATTGTCTTTGCTCTCCCAGACCCAGAACCTCTACCAGTCCACTTTCTCCTACTGCTTGCCCAGCTTCAAATCACTCAACTTCTCTGGCTCACTCAGACTTGGGCCTGTGGCCCAGCCCATTAGGATCAAGTATACCCCTCTTCTCAAGAATCCTAGAAGATCTTCTCTCTATTATGTCAACCTGGTTGCAATTAGGGTTGGCCGGAGAATTGTCAATATTCCTCCGGAGGCCTTGGCGTTCAATCCGGCCACCGGAGCCGGCACCATCTTTGATTCTGGTAATTCCTTCTACCTACCTTGTATAGGAATCACACACCATTACTCGTTCTAATTTGTTGTTAAACATGGCCAGGCACGGTATTCACCAGGCTAGTTGCGCCTGCGTATGTGGCGGTCCGGGACGAGTTCCGGCGACGAGTCGGGGCAAAGGCAAACCTAACGGTGACATCTCTTGGAGGCTTTGACACATGCTACACAGTTCCAATAGTTGCACCTACCATAACATTCATGTTCTCAGGAATGAATGTGACCCTGCCAGAGGACAACATTCTGATACACAGTTCCGCAGGAAGCACCACATGTTTGGCCATGGCTTCAGCTCCAGATAACGTGAACTCGGTGCTCAACGTCATAGCCAACATGCAGCAACAGAACCACCGTGTGCTCTACGACGTACCCAACTCAAGGCTTGGCGTGGCTCGTGAAGTCTGCACCAAATAAAATGGTGCACATCCTAATGAAGCTATTTTCATCATGACTTATATATGATCGTGTCACATTAATTTGGGTATGGCAAACTCTTTTGGGTGATGATGATGACGCTATTTCTTCTATCGAGTTTGGTTTTTTAGGGTATGGTAATAAGGGTTTCAATGCTAGGTAGCTAACTTTATAGTGCAAGATTTTGAGTACTAAAAATATTTATGTCTATGGAATTGAATTTGTGGTTAAAGTTCGTTCGTATTTATTAGCTTCGGAATGGTGTGTGTGTGTCACGGGTTCATATATTGTAGCTCTTTTGTCTTTTTATTCAAGTTGATTGAATTTATGAGATTTCAATATTTGGAAAGATAATCGTGCAAGTTCACGGGTCATGTAATAAAATACTATGTTGTTTCGTGGTTCTTTTTGTGTGGATATAATGCTTCTAAAATTTTCGATGCTAAGTTCTGTGAGATTTTTGCGTTCAAAAACTGGTTTGTGTTGGGATCATTATTGAGAGATTGTCATGCAATAAACACCACTGAAAAAAAAGTCAAGACCTTTACCAATATTTTAGAAAAAATTTCATGTTTCGTTACAAGATTAATTGTTAGAGGTGACACGACAAGCAACATCAAGTTCTACAGTAAAACATGTTCTAAAGTAAAACATATGCATAGTTAAATTGTTTTTTTTAATCAACTCAATCTACTCAAAGAAAATCATTGAATCATAAATAATCCAGAATCCCCGTAAGACATATCTAAAAGCCAATGTCCAAGTATTTACTAATTTGCTTGAAACCCATTTCGTATTGTGCATTATAACTTGCAAGAGAAGAAAATATAGCCCCACTTGGTGAAGGAACAACTTTTAATTTCCCAATACATAAATCATCCTTCAATACTTTTGCAAATTGACTAATCCACCAACCCAAGTGTCTAATAAAAATCATTCATTCATTCCCACTAACTGTTATTTAAGAATCCTGGCCTATAGGGTTTATATTATTGTCATGAGTTTTTTAACTATGATGATGAAGATTATAATTTATTTTATTGATGTCATCCTTAACAAATTTTCTTCTGGTTAAATTCTAAAAAATCTGAATAAAGGATCTCACATGATCTAAAGAATTTCATAAAAACCTACACTGTTTAAAATAAAAAAAAAACACAAGTGCTTAAATATATGACAAATGACATTTAGAAATTTTATAAACCAATAAGCTTGTGTGAAAATCAGAAGTCGTGAAAGAAAAAACTTGAAAGCCAAACCACACACACACACCACGATGCATAAACAAGTTTTCTACAAATTGTTTAATGCAGACAACAAAATGGTTTAAATCATATCACTTTTTACTTAATATATGTTAGTAGGTAATTCTTGCTTACAATGGTATATGAAAATTAGTATATAGAAAATAAGTTATAAATTCTAAGTAATATATATAATATTAATCACCTTATTTGTTTAGATAATAAATATATCACTTAATTAAGTTATGTCAAAAAAATATGACTATGTTAATTTTAAATATTATTTTTTATCTTAATTAATATTCTTTTTAATATAAAGAATAAAAATGACTATTAGATCATACCAAAAAAAAAATGAGTAAATAATTTTATAAAAACTAAAAACAAACCATATATATAGAGATATATAATCATAAACATATTTAAACATAGATAATGTAACAATTTAGCATTGCACTCCAAAAATAGCTACATAACTATTGTAAATTAAAATCATTTACAATTTTCCTGGATGACCCTTTGACCTAGTCAATAAGATAAGACGCAAAAGTTAATTAAAAGTCAAAACATCAATTCCCTTTAATCTAAATTTTCACTCAATTCACACCAAGTGTTCATTATTCTTGCCAAGTTATACAGAAGAAACAAGTAAAGAAGCATTGTTCTTCGGATTGAAAAGGTAAACCATGAATGGTGAAGTACAAAAAGGAGATTGGAACCAGTAAAACCTATCTAACTAAGAATTAACCATTTAAAAATTCATATTTAACTTTTTATTTATTTATTAATAGGAATTGAATATAGATTCAAGAGAGTTTATAATAATTCACACACATTTCTCAATCAAATAGTTATATATTTTTTCCATTTTTTTCATTTCGTTTAAGTAATTTAAATTTAATATTTTTAGGATTTATTTATTAAAATATGAAGTTTGAGTTTAGTTTATTTAGTTATATATATATATATATATATATATATATATATATATATAACTTGATTACTTTTTAAAAATATATATTATTTTTATTAATTAAATAGTTAAGACATATTTTCATGTCAAAATATGAGACAAACGAGAATAAGATACATGATAAAAAAAGTTATAAACATTTTTTTATACAATATTTTAAAATTTGTACATAATGTTAGATTTGTTTTCTTTATTCACATTTTTTTAATGTTTTGAATATTTTTGTTTTGTATTAATGAATAATGATATAAATTTAAAAATTGTCAACAGTAAAGAATAATTTATTGTATTGAATAATTTTTTTAAAAGCAAATGACTCAATCAAAGGTTTGAAAAAAGTCAAACTAAAATTACTGTCCTTTCAACAAGTTTCAAACTAAAAAAGCATTTGTGAGATGTCATGTCTGCACTTTCTTTCTTTTCTCTTCCCTTCGTTTTCATTATGTAATGCTCAACCAATAACATGCCATTGCTTCCACTCTTAACTAAACCCCACAAAAATATTTGCAATTTGTAACAACACAATCCCAACCCAGTTGAATTTCTCACACCCCAAATGAATCAAAATGTTAAAAAATTTAAAATTTATGTCATAATTATTTCCTTCAATCCATGGACACCAAGCTGTTAACAATCCGCACCCTCGTCTCCTCCCTCTCTTCCTCCTCCGGTCAAATCCGCCTCGTCGCCCTCCGTCACCTCCGCCGCACCTCCAACGAGGACCCCGCCTCCCGCTCCCTCATCTCCGCCGCGGGAGCAATCCCTCTCCTCGCTGACGCCCTCTATTCCCCCCTCCACCCCATCCAAGACCACGCCGCCGCCACCCTCCTCAACCTCTCCATCTCCGACCGCCAACCCTTCCTCTCCTCCCCCACCCTCCTCCCCGCCATCGCCCACCTCCTTTCCCGCCATGCAACCTCCTCCGCCGCCACCGCCGTCCAATCCGCCGCCGCCACCCTCCACAGCCTCCTCGTCGTGGTAGCCGAGTTCCGCCACACCGTGGGTGCTAACCCGGACCTCCTCCATGCCCTCATCAGCATAATCAGCCATCCTGACTCGCTAACGAGGTCCATAAAGGACGCTCTGAAAGCTTCCTTTGGAGTTGCACTGCACCCGCCGAATCGGATTACATTAATCCGGATAGGTGCAGTTCCTGTCCTCTTTGCGCTGATCGCCAAAGACAAGGACGGGAAGAGAAAAGTTGGCATAATCGAGGATGCCACTGCGGTAATCACGCAAATTGCGGCGTGCGAGGAGAGCGAGGACGCATTCCTCAAGGTTTCGGGGATTTCTAAGTTGGCGATGATGTTGTGTTCGGAAAGTGGAAGCTGTAGTTTGAGGACAAAGGAGAATGCTGTTGCAGCGTTGTTGAATTTGATGAGATATGGGAGTGAGCGAGTGGTTGGGGAGGTTAGGAGCAATGTTGGGGCGTTGGATGGGATCGCGTATGTGCAGGAACACGGTAGCCCCAAAGGGAAGAGCAAAGCCATGGTGTTCTTCAAGCTTTTGCTTGATGGTGGAAGCAGTGGTGATATTGTTCAAGATTTGTACCCGGTTGACTCTGAATCGGGTTCAAGTTGCAGCAATTCTAAGTAGTTTCAACTTCAATGTAAATCATGACTTCCAATGTTACTAGCTAGACTCTGATCTAACACTAAAGACAAAAGAATCACAATTTTTCTTTCTTATTCTTTGTAGGTCTAGTTTTGGGTGAGACTAGGTGTTGGTTGGTGATGGTGAAGAAACTTTTGTTGATCAATCTCAGCTATGGCAACATTTGTTGTGGTGTAGATTCTAGCAGTAATTCATAACAAATTCTCTTCATTCTTCTGCTTTGCTCTCCATTGCTTTGATTTTTACTGCAACCACTTTCTTAAATTGTACCAACCAGGATCAACATAGCTGATAAATAGTTGCATGGTTTTTGGTTGTCATGAGAAGGTTTTTTCCATGACCAACCCCTTTTCATAATGGTTCTCTTATTGTACTTTGCATGTTCATGGGATTCCATATGATCCTAGAAAGAAAATAGATAGATTTAAGGCATAATTAACCACAGAGACAAAAATCTTGAATTTTCCAATTCTTAAACCCACTTAACTAAAAGGGACGATGATATCAGAAAATATAGAACGAATGAAGTCTTATCCCTTTAGAAAGAGAGAGGGGATGAAACATCACATTAATTGGAGGTGTGTGTGATAAGAACACATTCCTATTCTTAAAAGGACAGTTTCATGATGACAATAGCATTTTGCAAAACTTTCTTCTCTCTAAGGATTAAATGGGAGAAGAGATGTGAATCGACACCAAACACATAAGTCAATCTATTCCACTGTCACACTTAAGGAAGAGCAAGTGAGAAAAGACCTATTATTATTTTTATTATTTATTATTTATTTTTATATGTCAATTCAAATTTATTAAATTTTAAATTTTTTGTTTGGATACAGTATTTTAATTATCACTTAATAAAAATAATATTTTAAAAAATATTTTTTTAATTTTCATTAAATAATGTTTCTCATTCAAAGTCAATCAAAGTTATACATCAAAGTTGTTTTTTAGTAAGTAGAATTAATCGTGTTCAACATGAAAAGGATATAAAAATTATAAATTATTACTTTTTAATAAATGTTAGAAATTCTATAATTTCAAATAATCAAATTACCTTTCTAATTTTTTTTTAAAATTTATTTATGCAAACAACATGAATTAATTTCAAATTCTTTATAAAAATCAATTATCTTCTAAATATTGCTTTCCTAAAAAAATCTACAAATAAATAGGGATATATAATATAAAACAATTTTTCAAAAAGTTATATATATATATATATATATTTCAAATATTGTTAATTTATTAATTTTTAATAATAATATTTCAAATATCATTGGTAATATTTTTTTTAACTATTGTAAAATAGGTTATAAAAATTAATCTTGACAAATCTTCGGTGGACTAAAAAGACCAAAATGACATTTTCTTATTATCAAATTATTGTAATATATATTCTGAATTAGTAAAGCATCTCATAATTTTATTATTATTGGATGAACATGATGATAAATTAATTTACAAACAATATTTAAACTATTCTTACATTGTTTTAGGTCTAATTTAATATTGGTGAAATTTAGTTAAGTCATAATATAATGACAATTTAAAATAGAAATAATGATGAATACTTGTATCTATTTGAACTTGGTGTCAGTGTAAATAATTGATAGAGATTTGTGTTATAAATCCATTAAAATATGGATAATGATATCGTGAATTAAGGTTTAGTACTTCCTTGACTTATGATTGTGTAATTTTTCTTATATTCTATATTTGTTCATTTATTAAGTTAAGTATTAAAGAGTTTTGATGGATAATTTCTCTCTTTTCTTCAAAACATATTAGTGCAATCTAAAAATTATCTTATAAAATTATTGATTTAAGTCTTAAATAAGTATCATAAAAAATATCTATAAACCTTATTTCCAAATAATAATGTTTATTATTTTTATAAAATGACATAACTTTAATTTAAAAAAGAAGAAGAATATAGGACAGAAAGAACCAAGTGAAATGGCGCATAGGGAAGAATGAGTGGTGGAAAAAGCGTCGATGTTTGTTTTGGGTGACGTGGCCCAGCTAGCACGATTCCTGACCACAATGGCCACCCAAAGTCGTAATTAGAAAGGCATTAAGAGTGGTGGTAGCTTTGGACGTAGTGGCTGTGTGTGCATCAGCATCACCAAAAGAACACCTTTCAAAAGCCACACTAACACACCAAACAAAAGTGCAACCTGAGAAAGACAAGGAGAGAGAAGAGGAAAAGGGAAAGAGGGGCTATCATGTCATGCATTCATACAAATCATTTTGTTTTTCTGTGAGATTTGAGGGCATTGGAGAGGGTGTGGTGGTGTTGGTGTTGGTGTTGGTGTTGGTGGTGAATACTTGTGAAAATATACGTGTGATTAGGATTCTAAGGGGAGTGGGTGACAGACCCACGTGAATGACCCACCACCACCACCACCCTTTGTGCTTGGCCCAGTGGATGTCATGGTTGGCTTCATATCAACGCAAACAGCCAAGTAAATTCAACCAAAAAACAAACCTACACCATTCCTCACTATCACACCACACTGCACTTAACTTTCCAATCTACATTCAATTTGGGTCTTCCATAATCTTAATTAATCTGTTAATATGACTTTTAAGATATTTATTATAAAAAGTTCACTAATTTAAACTCAACGCGTCACTCTAATTGAATAACAAAATAAAAATTATTTTACAATGTCGATGCTCTTAATCATATTGGTTGTAGTGCTCTTAAAAAATCACAACAAAAATAAAAATTTGTCTAACTCAGAATTACTTTCAATATATGATGTTTGTGATGTAAGAAAAGAATCAGTACAGAACTATGAGGGAATCCTAATTTAAAACCTTCAATGTAGAGTCACAATGGCAATAATTAACAAGGATTTAAAATCTTAAGGTAACAACACCATGGAGCACCACCTCTTGCACAAAAGCAAGAAAAAGAAAAGTTCAAGGCTTTGACATCATTAACCTATTTGACAAAAGGTGAACATTTTTTTTTCCTTTCCACCGCCCACTATAGTGCTATTTTCCATTTTTCTTCTTCTTTTATTGTTTCTAACTCTCTTTCTAATGCTAGTGGTTGTGTCCCTCTTTACCCTTTCTTATTGATAGTCTCAGACTCAAGTTGGAAGCATGTTAGCAGGTAAACACAGAGGGTTAAAAGCTTTGTAGTAGATGGGGGATGAGAGATGGAGGATAAATCAGAGAAGAAAGATGATAGCCACCCATCTCTTCTCCTCCCTAATCGTGGCACCATCAAGGAAGACAATTCTCCAAAGAAAGCCATTGGTGGTGGCAGTGACAGGCTGAAGAGGGATGAGTGGAGTGAAGGGGCTGTGTCAACCCTTCTTGAGGCCTATGAGGCCAAATGGGTGCTCAGAAATAGAGCCAAACTCAAGGGTCATGACTGGGAAGATGTTGCAAAACATGTCTCATCAAGAGCCAACTCCACCAAGTCACGAAAGACACAGACTCAGTGCAAGAACAAGATTGAGTCCATGAAGAAAAGGTACAGATCAGAGTCTGCAACCACTGCTGATGCATCATCTTGGCCTTTGTACTATCGCCTTGATCTTCTCCTGCGTGGCACAGGTCCAATATCTTCACTCCCACCACCAACAACAACAGCCCCATCGTTTCAACCACCACATGCTAACCAGGCTTTGGTGTTGTTGGAGCCTCCTTCATTGGCTGTGTCACAAGCTCCCCCTTCTGTTGCTCCTCCACCACTCACAGTTGCACAAAACTCACATGGATCCAATGGTGTTGAAAGACTAGCCAAGGTAGATAGATTTATTTTCATTCTGGGTAGTTATCTAACTTTGACTTGATTCTTTTGTTTTGCAATTTATGATCGTGATTCATCCATCCCAGAAGGATATCTAACTTTGGCCTGATTCTTTTCTTCTGCATTCTATGATCATGACTCATCCATTTCAGAAGGATATTTAACATTGTGAAGTTGGCACTACATGGCTCAAAACTATTTTGCTAATTATTGAGCTTTAAGTTTGAGTGTAAATTCTGTTCACAAGAGTACTACTGAAAATCATTTTCCTGAACTTGTTCAGTAATTTTATTTTATTTTTCAAAAATGTATGATTGTTGCATCAAGCAGCTTGAGTTTCATATAAAGAGAAAACATATATTGGATTTTACACCTCACGTGAAATGAGAAAACATGATTTCTGAAAATTTATGTCCATTCATCGTGTGAGTGTTCTGATTGATTTTCTTTGCAACAGACAACAATTCGCAGAGAGTAAGTGAAACACATCTCTTTTAAAGAAAGTTACCAAACCAAACATGAACTGAGCAAAGAAGGGCTTAAATGACATATTTAAATAACTATTAATATATTTATTTAAAAATTACTGTGAATAAAAGCCACTATCTTTGTGCTTTATTTTATTTGTTTGGTACGGTGAAAACAAAAAATGAATAAATAAACTCATGTTAAAATAGTTAATTTTACATTTAAGTATAAAAGTTAGCAAGACCCCATTATTAGGTGATGACCTAAATCTTCCATTATACTAAATAAGCATTTTATGCATAAATTTTTTGCAAGGGACAAGAATAGCTGTATTAAAGTGCATGCAGGAGCTATGTTGCTAGCTTTTGATAAACTTTAACCATATATTATGCAAGTAAAATTGACATTAGAACAACCATGACAAAAGCAGGCATCGGAACTAAGATGGTTTTAGTGTGTTAGCATTGTGTTTCAAAATATATTATACACACACAAGCATGTTATATAAATATAAATGTTTTGGCATTAATAGGAAGATGGGTTAGGAGCCAAGTCATTTGAGCATGTATCTAACAAGAATCCAATGGACTCGGATAGCAGCACACCTGCTCTATACAGTGAAAAGGAGAAGGTGATCAGATGCAACAAGAAGAAGATGAAAAGTGAGAAGAAGATGAAGAAGAGGGTGAGAAGGAACAGTAACAGTAACAGTAACAGTAACAGTAATGATAATAAGAATGAAGAGATGGACATAGGAGAGAGCATAAGGTGGCTAGCAGAAGTGGTGGTGAGGTCAGAGCAAACGAGAATGGAGACAATGAAAGAGATTGAGAAGATGAGGGTTGAAGCTGAGGCAAAGAGAGGGGAAATGGAGCTGAAGAGAACTGAAATCATAGCCAATACTCAACTAGAGATTGCTAGGATCTTTGCAAGTGTCAATAAAGGTGTTGATTCTTCACTAAGAATTGGAAGAAGTTAATGATGGAAGGTACATGGTGACATATATGTTTGTATGTGTACAAAGCTTATTAATTAATCAACATGATATATATATATATAGAGAGAGAGAGAGATTGAAGGAGAGGGAAAGTTGTAGCTACTACATATCTGTAATTGGCCTAACCAGTGAAAGAGAACACCATGTATAGGGTAGAGGTAATAATTATCTCTCCTAACCTTAATTATATACACTTTTAATTGTAACCTTCTCTTTCATTAATTAAGAAATTAAGGAATAATGTTTCTTAGATTCTCTTTCACCTTTATGTGCTCTTTTAAATCACATTTCAATTCAACTTATTATTATATATAGCATGGAAATCTGATATGTATTATATATATATATATATATATATATATATATATATATATATATATATATATATATATATATATATATATAATTCTAATTTTTATAAACTATTTTTTTAGAGTTGGGATAGATTAGAATTTACTTTTTAATATGATATATACCAAAATCTATCTTTTGTTGAATTTATTGATTTATTAATTATAAGATAATTATCAAATACAAATATTTAATTTTTCATTCAAAATATATAATTTCAAGGTAAAAGATGCATTAAAAAGTATTTATATCTATTAAAAATACGATTTTTATAATCCATTTCCTTAAGGCACAAGTTAAAAGTATTAATTACACTTTCTTTTTTTCGCTCATACAGTATTAAATAATTAGGAGAAAGAAATTAAATACTAATAAAATAAAAAGTATTAGTTACTTTTTTTTCTACTTATACATAAAAATATATATATATATATAAAGTAACATATATTTTATTTATTTATTTTCTTTGTAGTTGGTTTATTTTTTTTCTTTTTATCTTATATTTATTATTCTCTCTTTTTACTATTTTATTTCTATGTTTTATAATTGTAAGAAAAAAAATTTAGATTTTTTCTTTTTTCTTTACGATTAATAACAATATAATTTTAACATATTTTTAATAAAAAGTGATATTATTGTAATGTAATATTTAATTTTATTTTTTCATTAAAAAATGTAAATGATTCATTTTATTTTGTTTTCATTACAATAATACAAGTGAATAAATTTTTTATACTTATTTTTAAGATATATTGTTTAAATTTCTTTATTATTATACTATTTTATGTAAGTTGACTTGATTTTTATTTTTAAATACATGTAATTATGGGTAAATGAAATTACAAAAGAGAAAATTAGTAAGTAGATTAATAAATTAATAATAATAATTAAAAAAGAAATTGAATAAATAATTAATATTCTTATCTTATGACAAAGAAAACTTAAAATTTAAAAATATGATCTAATTAATATCATAATCCTTATATTATAAAATGTCAACCAATATCAACTTTGGGGCAATGAAACTTGGTAAGATACAAAAGTTTGAAATATCTTGAATAATATAAAAATAATGATATGAATAAGTTTTTGACATATATAACATAAATTATTTTCAAATATAAACGTATAACTAATAATAGAAGAAAAGTGGAATAAACCATCTATTTTAAAAAAACATTAATAAAATAAAATATTTAAATAAATTATTTTCAAATATAAACGTATAACTAATAATAGAAGATAAATTTTAAATTTGACAAAAAAAAAAAAACTATATCTCAAATTTAAATAATTAAAAACATATCTAAACTTAAAAGAATCTTCGCAATTGCAAGTAGATATGGTAAACCCCTGCACTCAAAAACCCTCTTTTCGTTCAAAAAACGCACACAAACACACTCTCCAATTCCAAACCAGCAACAATGGTTCTCTTCCATTGCCATGCCCCTCACCCCAGCATGGTCACTCTCTCACCCTTCAATTCCAAACCCCTTTGTGCTTCTCTACCTAACCCTTCTTTCTTAACTCATCACCACCCTTATCCTCTCACCACAACCACTCACTTCAACAACAATAAGCCTCTTTCACTCTCCACAATACCCAGAAAGTTCCTCTGCAAGCCACCCCAGGGAAAATATATCAGGGATGATTATCTTGTGGTATGCCACTTCAAAACTTCATTTTCTATCATATTGTTTCTGGGTCTCTGTTGTTTTTTCCTCTTATGGATCCTATCTACCGTTTCTGAATTTTCGTGGTTCATAACCGTGTTATCTAGGTTTTAACAAAATGCCTTTTTGTTGTGAAATTTTTTTCTTTTGTACATTCGGTTAAGTCGCAAAAATGTTACTAGTGTTCAATGTAATGAATGGTTGTGTTTCTGATGTAATAATTTGTTTTTTTTTTTTTATATAATGAAATTCTTTAGTTTTTACCTGTAGGAACTAAAAAAACAGTTTTTTTTTTTTTGTTTCATTTTAGCTTCTTACTGTGAAAATGTAGGAGTTCAGGAAAAGAAGAAAGAACAAAGACGAGTTTAATTTTTTTTTTAATTTAATTAATTGTATTACTCACAATCAATAAAAAAAAAAAAAACAATTTTTGGAATGATTTTGAAGGATATTAACGTATAAATCAATCAATTTTAAGATAATCAGCTTTGTGAGTGAATAACAATGTAAATTAATAATTATGCTGTCAAAACATAGACTGTTTACTCTTTTTTGTGTTTATTCAATAAGTTAAATGAAGTCTGATATTTTAGTGATTCCATTGTTTTGTTATTGTTTATTTGCAGAAAAAGTTGTCAGCTGTGGAAATCCAGGAGCTGGTGAAGGGAGAAAGAAAAGTGCCTCTTATTATTGATTTCTTTGCAACTTGGTGTGGACCATGTATCTTAATGGCACAAGAACTTGAAATGGTACGTGGTTTAATTGATCTGGAAAATGTTTAACCTTTGCTCTGATTTGACTATGAGGATGTGTTGTTGCCTATTTGATGTTGGTTTCAACTTTCAAGAAAGCACAATGCCATAATATATGTCTGATTTTTTAATTCAATCTTTACTTGACTCAGCCTCCATCGATAGTCTGTAATTATTTTTTGTATTTGTGTTATGAAATAGATTTAATACCATTCACCAGAAAAGTAGATTAAATTCATTAAATATTTGACATAGATTTGTCTACAAGGAAACAGACAGCTTCCTTCAAATTTGGAAATTCAATTGCTAACAAAGTTTGCCTCATTTGCATAAACAGTAGTCATTGTAGTAATTGGGGGCTGGTTGGAGGTATAATGGCTTGCCTTGTATGTTAGTTTTTCTGTTTCAATTTTATATTTGTCATACTTTGGAAAAACAGTCCACAACTGTCATATATGGCCAACATTGAAATTTTTGGGCTCAACACTGCTGCAGTTTTAGCCGCATTGGCCCGCAACATCAGGACCACAACAGAACTGCATTTGCTACCTACCTTTATGTTTTTATAGATTGATTCTATCTAATGATTTATTTCATCACCAATTGCCCAATATGACAATGAAATTTGAGATATTCATTTTCCTTGCCCCCAAAGTTAATGGTCTTCGATCTGTTGGACAGCCTATCTGGTATGATCATAACAAATTGTGATTTATGTATTCCGACTGCATTGTTCTCATGTGAGAGTTTTTTATTTATTATGTTAACTGAGTGTGTTTGAACCAAGAATTGAAATGAGAAAGAAAAGAAAGGTATTTATTGAATAGAATGATAATTACAATGAAAAAATCTCTCTTCCAAGGTTTCCCCTTCTCAAAAATTCAATTCACAATTTGCAATGACAACTAATCTGAATCTCTTCTATCCTTCTGCTATTTGTGTCTATTTAATCCCTCTAATAAACACATTAATATTCTGACTATCTTAACTTATCTAACTTCTCCTTCTCCTTATATCCTAACAGTGTCACGATGTTTATAAATTTTCAATGTGAATGAGGTCAGGGTTAGCTAGTTCTTGCACTGCATATTATGTGTAGGTTATTGTTTGTACCCAGGTTAAAAACAGAAAGGTTAAAGGTTTTGACTTTCATATAAAAATTGCTTGCTGGAACTCATTATATTCATATTGTATCATATCTGATTTTCTTCCAACATGGAATGGAAAATGTCCAAAGATAAGCTGAAGGCTTTTGTGGCTTCTCTATTTTTTTAGGTGGCTAACTGGCTTTCATATTTCATTCCATCACCATTAGTCTAATAGCAAGCACGTTTGAAAATTATGTCCAAAAATTTTTTAACCGAAAAATTACAAAGAAGAGATTTTTTGTGGACAAGCAAAATATAAGAACCTTGAATTTATAGGTCTAGCTCTTAAGCAAACATACAAGTAGATAGTAACAAAGGATGGCTGTGACTAACCAAATAGATAGATAAATTTGGGTCTTTGGCTGGTAAATGGTTGCAAAATGGACCTCAGACACTCAGATTTGAGAGCAATAATGACACACAGAAAACTTAGAAAGAACTCACAGTAGAGACAAACACACAGAAAGAGATTAATAAAAAACATTGATTGATAAGAATAAAAGAACTGTTTTTTTTTTCTAAGAGAAACTGTATAAAACCAGAGAATGAGAACTTGAGAAGTAAAGAAGCAGCTGGAAGGGTTGTGAGAGTCACCAGAGGGTTACACTCACTCAGTGGTTGGCAGAGGGTCGCACAAGGGATGTTCAGTAGTCGCCATGTTTGTACAGAGCCTACAGTACATATGACAGTGCATAGCGGCCAGGGGCCACTGTTCATCACCATGTTGCTATAGTGGGCTCAAGTAATTGATAATTTAATAAACAATCCTTGTCCCCCTTTCAGTTTTTTTCCACGTGACCAGGCTATATACAACATTTTCATGACTTCTAACCATGTTCTTTAATAATTTTTGCTAATAAATAGTAGATGCGAGAGTATATTTGCAAACTTACTCAGATCTGGAGCTTGTGCCGTATTCTAAATTAATAGACATTGAGATTGATCTCGAAAACAACTTGATAGATCCAGTTTTATTGAATGCTCATGAAGGAGATTGAGACTTTATGCTGTACAAATGGCAATTAATCATGTAACGTGTATGAAATAAGCTGTATGAGTCTTGGTGTATTCATGAGTTTTAACTATAATGCTTACCAATATACAGTTTGTAACTATTATGAATATACCCTTCAGGATTCTAATGGCAGCAATTATGAAACTGATTCTTCACTATAAATTCATAATACATTGAAGATCGTGAAAATCCAAGAGGATCATAACTGGTTTCTCTCCATCTAATGCTGTATATTCAATAAAATCTTATATAAAATTGTTCTTAAATGATAGTGTAGGGGGCTGAAGTAATTATAAATTGGATCAATGACTAGGGCTGCATGCATTGAAATTTTAATCTACAAGCAAGAGTCACTTTTTAGTTTCATCCAATAGAGGTGGAGATGAGAGGTGTTGGAGGAAGTGTTGAAAGATCAGGAAGAGACTTTTACATTAGTCATTGTGTTTGGTTAAACAGCTTATTATGCACTTAAAAAAATTAGTGCTTATAACCAAAGTACTTATGTGTAAATTGTTTCCATAAGAGGAAAGTAGGTCAGACTATTTTCATAATTTATTCACAAGAGTTTATTAAAATAAGTTGAAAAAGTAAGCGATCCCAAATACTTATGCTATTAAATAATCTTTTTCAAATGCATCCTTGGTTGAGAGATGATTCTGCATATATTATTAATGAAGTTCAAAGCATTGACTACAACTTTGCAACCAGTTTACAAGCAAAGCACTTACACAAAAGTTCTATTGAAATTTCAAACGACTGTTAGCTCTAATTTATATGAGAATTATTAGCCAATATGCAATATTTTATTTTACTTCCATCATTGGAAGAGATATATTAATGAACTTCTCCAAGGGACAGATTGTATTCTGGCAATCACCATGGCTGTAATAGTTCATCTTCTGTTTGAATGCATGTCTTCTGACTGGTAGAACCAATTTCAGCATCTGGGGATCTAGAATATGTTCTACAACTGTTTGGCTTTCTTTCCCTGAACACTGACTTTTTACTTAATACTTGAACAATCTTTGCATTCTTTGTCTTATTTGCTTAATTTTATAAGGATGTCATGTTTTAATCAATAGGGTGGTTCTCAATCTCCCAGTATTTTCCTCAATGTTTATCTGGTTGAGTAGTTGATTTGAAAGCTTAGTAATAACCATCCATATTTAAATTTTTTTCAGCTTGCAGTTGAATACCAAAACAAGGTACTGATTGTGAAGGTTGATACAGATGACGAGTATGAATTTTCACGCGACATGCAGGTAAGTATGGTTACAATGTACAAATACTCAATAGAGATCCAATAAAAAATCTTTTGATTTTAATCAAACTTGTCAGGAGTTAGTATAATAAAGAGTAAATGAGCGCATCCCACATGCTTTTATGTTCATAACCTATTACTGTTACCTCTTTAGAATTTTCCACTTTTTCTCTGTACAAAATGACATGTGAACTTATGGGATTGTACCCCAAACAAGTGGGGACAAAAATAAACATACAATGTATCATGAGGTCTTAGCAGTATCCTCATAAACTTACACGTATTAATCCTGTTTGTTTATTCAAAGATAATAACCATAAATTTAGAGATCTTGCTTATTTGTTTTGTTTTTATTATAGTTGACAAGAATCACTATTTTAATGGGTTGTGTTTCAATTTCAAGCCTAGACTAGACAAGACCCTTAAAGGGGACTATACGCAACAGATCTAGACAGACAGAGGCTGATAATTGATTTTGCCTTCAGTTGAAATTTGGATTGTGACAGTTTCTAAAGAACACACTTAAATGTCATGCATTTCAGGTTCGTGGGTTGCCAACTGTGTTCTTTATTAGCCCTGATCCAAACAAAGATGCTATTCGAACTGAAGGACTCATCCCAATACAGATGATGAGGGACATCATTGACGAGGATATGTGAAACAGCAAAGGGTTACGATCACCTGCCACAGTTTCTATTTTGGATCATGCAATATTCTGTCTGGTGCAATGGTATCATATCTTGGACAGAATTGAAGTGCTAACCGATTCATATGATTTTGGCCCTTGAAGAGTTATAAAATGCATGATGTTTATGTAAGGTTTGACCTCGACATACTCTGTAGTGTACCACATGTGATGTCATATGGAAGGACATGTATGTAACACAATCATGGACTTGCAGCACCCCATTCATCAAAATATAAAATATGGTATTGAAAGGGACAATCTGTGTGTTGGGTGGTGACTGAGTTGAGCCTCCATGCTTCAAACTTATTGTCCTGTCACCTTGATGATGTGTTTTTGGGGTGCATTTGAATGTGACAAGTATGGTTCTAATATTCTAGGAAGAAAGGAAAATCAAAGAGAGGGATCTCTGAAAGAATTTATTTTTATTTTTATAGTTTGACAGTACAACCATTCTTGAGTGGTAATCACGTTCAATCTAGGGTAGAATTAGCATGGATAACAAGGTTGTTTGAATCTGATTTTAGTTTCTATAAAATTAGCAAATTTTAACTCAAGTCCTAGTAAGAAAAAATTGGTTTTCATTTCTTAAAAAGTTGAAATTTTGTGCAGTCTCTACTGATATACTGACACTTAAATTGTTTATGTCTAAAGAAAGGTGCTAAACTGTGATACTTTAAGAAACATTTAAGTTTCTAAATTAATTTTTTTATTTAAATTAAATCAATTTTACACTAAAAAATAGCGATTTTTGGATTTTTGAAAGATTAAATCAAGGAAAACTCATTAATTTTATAAGGGTTTTAACATATTTGAATCCAACAAAATCCAAAAAAAATAAAATTGTATTTAATACATGTCGATTCAATTCTACTAAAGTTAGAATAAGTGAATTAATTGATTCAATGGTATGCAGAAAAATTTGATTCTTCTTCTTCAATGGTATGCAACAAGAGTGTTCACAGTGGATCTCTTCAATTGCAAAAACTATCACAAAAACTATTTATATAAATGAGAACCTTTTCATTGTTTTAGTTTAAATATACAAATTAACCTAAACTAATAACAATCTTTATTAACAAGTTTATTTATATAATTTGTACCTTCATCAACCAAAATCTTCTTGATTGGTTAAGTGTTCAGCATCAAAGGTTTGACATTAAAAAGAAACATAATGATTCTTGCTTCCATTGATAACAAAAGTGATGAGAGTGATTCTCCATCTAATCATGTTGGTGATTTTTTAGGCTAACCGCAAACTATAATACTTTGGTTTGACCATAAATGATCGTTTTAACAACAACCTTTGCTTTTTCAAAATTTCCAACTACTCTCTCTTCAATCTGATTCATTGATTCTTTAATTAAATGAAAACTAGAGATAAAACTAAACTTCATTTTATAAATTTAAAATAAAAAAGTCTCTCGTTTTATTAATAGTAAAAATATTAATCAACATTTTGAATATTCAGCCTTAACAAATATTAGTCTTAGTAGTTTTTTTCGTGATTTATAGAAAAAAATTTAAAATATTAATAGAAGATTCTTAGAAATAGTAAAGCATAGGTCCAATTCTACAAGTGAAAATCGTATAACAAATACATTAATATTTCTAATTTTTTCATGAATATAAAAATTATTTTTAATTCGTAAAATTTAGAATAAATTTTATTTTATTTTTCTTTCAAATTTAAATTTGATATTTCATTTAAAACCAAGTTGACAACCAAAGTTGTCATAACAGTATCTGTACATTTTTCCAATCCAAAACAACACATGTCGTGAATATGAAAATTATCGATGCAGTTCCCTCTCATAGTCACGTCAACTAATTCAATTCAAGTATGTTTGGTCGGAGAATTTGGTCACGTTTAAATTCTACTTCATTTTTGTCATTTTCTATCCACAATAACTTTTTCTAAGTGATTTGGACGGAAAATAAGAAGATATCTATCAATTATAAAAATTCTAAATAATATTAATTTTACTAATAATTAGTTATTTTTAAACATGATTAGTATAATTTTATCTTCTTCTAAAATAGGTTTTCTTAGAAGTATGATATAGTATATTCAGCCCTTAAGCATAAAATACTATTAAATAAAAACGTAATATTTTCATTCTGATTTAAAAGAAGATATTGAAAATAAATTTCCTCATACTCTTATTTATTTAGTTAACTAATTAACTTAGTTAAATAAAAAAATAATCAAATTTAATTTAGATTATAAATATTATTTTATTAATATAAATTTTATTTTGATATAAAATTTTTCGTTGTTACAATAACATTCATTCTTGAAGTAATATTCACCTGGTTAAAGAAAAAAGATGTATATAAACCAGTTTTCACCTCAATGTTTAAGAGACCTAAAATTTTCAACATACCAGAACAATTCATTTTTAATATTTAAACTTTTTATTTATATTTATAATATTATTTTTATAATGTTTACCCTCGTTTTGATAAAAAATGTTAGTAATAAGATTAGTTTCATAAAATAAAAAAAAGTGCATAAGTGGGTGAAAATGAATCCAGAAACTAAACCAACCAAATCTACCTAAATTTCAACAACATGGTGAATGATGAGTGTATTCAATTCGTTTTAATTCACCTAATTAGAATTTGGTTAGATATGAATTAATGAGTTTCCAAATCTTAATCCAACTAACCCTACCTGCATCATACCAATAACAACATAATTATTAGTGTTGTTTAAGACATACATTGTTGTTCAATCTGAAACATCTATTTTTCCAGTGGTTGTGACTTACATTTCAAGTATGTGTTACTTTTTCTTTAAAAGACGATTAACTCATCATTTTCTTGTTTTTCTAATTTTGTTTTTTATTTTTTAATAAATTCAATTATTTAATCCAATCCAATACAGTAAAATATTTTACCTTAATTAAGATAATTTCATACTTCAACAATAAATAAATAAATAATATTTAAAATTGCTATAAAGTCACTTAAAATATAACTTCAGTAAAGTTAAAAAATAAAAATAAAAAATTTTCTCTTTATTCTGTCTCGTTACATTTCGCCATTATTAAAAACCTCAACTTGACAAATTGCCAATAAAATATTTTACACGAAATCATCATCTTTTAAAAAAAAATTCATTAAAAAAAAAATACTACATCAAAATCAATGGGATTGATATTGTTTCCAGCTACCAGACATTAAAATATAAAAAGGGTAAAAAAAATATTTTAAAATGAATTCATCATTTTATAAATTTTATTCTTACCCTGTATTTTATAATCGTAATAACGATTATAATAATTATTTTTTATTGTGATAACATGCGATTCAGTTTGTATTAGTGATAATAATTATAATTAACCAAACAAAAATGCAATTTCCCGCTATATATGCCGCAATACAATGAATCCTTCCATTTTTTTTTCTTTTACAATTAATTCCCTTTCATATAAACACCGTAACTTAAAAAAAAAATTAAAGAAAAAAAAAACTCAGAGAAACCCTGAACGAAGCAATTCCATCGGAACAATCCAGAACCCCTAAATGTGGCAGCGATCCTACGTGGCGCAAACGACGCCGTTGCCGTCCGAGGGCGAGAACGCGAGAAGCATGAGCGCCGCCATGATCCCTACGGGGAAGAAGAGAAGAACGAGCGGCGGAGGCGGAAGCGGCGGCAGCATGAGCGGCAGCACAACCATCGACGCCGCGAGAGCCGCCAGAATGAGAACGGATCCTAAGCTGAAACACCGCACCATGTTGTTGTCGTCGTCGTTGATGATGATGATGATGTTGATGTTGTTCCTACGATCATGTTCCTCTCCGACACCGCGAGAGGGTAAAAGAGTAATTTGGGACAGACGTGCGTGGTCTGATCCTGTTACCTTGTGCGTGGGTGTCTCCGAAACGTTAAAAGTTTGGGTTTGAAGTTGAATCACAGAGAGCGGTGACGCGGTGTTGGGTTTTATATAGCAGGCGTGGCGCGTGGTGCATTGGATTGGGTCTCTTTTCTCTCTCAGGCGCGAGTTTCGATGGATGGACCCAAGTGGTGTGGGGCCCACCTGCTGGTTGTGTGCGGTTGGTTAAGTTAACTTGAGGTGATTGTTTTAATTTTGATTTTGATTTTGTGTTTATATGGGTGGGTGGGGTAACATTAATTTAATCCAACACTTTTACTATAAACTTTTAACATTTTTTTCATATTTTTTATTAATTAAAAGTGGATATTTCTTAACAAAACATCGATCCCTATTATAAAAATTAAAAAAATATTTATATAAATTATTAAAAAAAATATTTATTAAAAATGTGTGTAAAGAGGTGGTGGTGGCGATGCTACGAATCTGCAGAATCATAACAACAGATCCCAATATATACACTCTTGATACGTCTCTGCAATTTTAAACTATTCTTTCCATCAACTTGCTTCTCATCTTTCTTCTTTCTCTCACCACTCTTCTCATATTGTTTATGAAATTGATATATTGCTTGAATTATTAAATTATAAATTGGATGAGTAAAAGGATAATCATATTATTGTGAATTGAATTTTTTTTTAGTTTTTCTTTTCTTTTAAATAAAAGTTAAATTATGTCAATCACTTTCACCTAAATAGAATTTATTAAAAATATAAATTCTTTTATTTAATGAATTCCTCTATTTATTTAGATATAAATCCATCAAATTTTATAAATTTCAATAAATTTTAACATTCTTAGAGTTTTCATCTCGTACATGTTATAATAATATTTTTAAAATTTATTCTCATATTTAAGATATTATTTATTTTAAAATATATGAATATATCAAAAATAGATTTTTAATTAAAGATTAATAGATAATTAATGAGAATGTTAATTTTTTATTTAGAATTGAGGAATTTCAGTCTCATAATAGCATAATTAGAATTAATAATTATTATCATTTTAAAATTTTAAATCATTACAATTTTATTCTTAAAAAATATATGTATAAATTAAACGAGGAATCAGTAACACCTTCAGATATTATTTTCTAACACAAGATGCGTATGCCTCACTTTGTGAGACAGAAATTTGGAATTGAAAAAATTGATAATTTTTTTGAATGGGTGGTGAGAATGAAACACGTGAGTATGAAGAGCACCATTTTTTGTCCCAAAAGCATTGTCTTATTAGTCAAAGACTTGGGTACTTTACCAAATCATCTTCAACTTTCATCGTCTTTTTACGACTATCCCTTGCACAATGCTTCAAACTTTGGTGGCTGCGTCAACTTTCGTTAGTGTCAAAATCAAAAGGTGAAAACTTTTGTTGCTTCTGCTTCATTTTACATTATCAGAATGCATTGTTTTTCACTCACCTATTTTCTATGTTTTCCCCTTTTATATGTGTTTCATGTACTAACATTATGATTTCAATAATTACAAGACTTTTTAAGTATGTTAAATAACTTTCAAATTTTTACTATTTATAATCATATATATTATCTTCATCTAAAGTTATTATATTATTAAAATAACAATTATTCTCACTTGCAATGTGTTAGTTTTGGTTTTTCATATAATTAATTAAAATCCATGATTTTTAAAAGAATTATTATCAAAGTAAATAAATTTACCATAAATGTTAGTTGTGATGGACTTTACATGAGAGTTATTCTTTTTAAAAATCGATATTATTATAATATACATCAAAAGAATTATTTAAAATAAAATTATTCACTCAAATAGATAATTCTTATTATGGGAATTTAAATAACTTTTCTGATATAAAACACTTTTTTTTCTTCACTCATTTTCTTATTTTTCTCTCTTCTCATTTACTTTTTATCTTTTTTTTTTTGTCTCTGTTCTCTCTCATTTAGAATTATTCTTCTAATTAAAAATATTATATTAAAATTTAAAAAAAATATACAAAAATAAATTATTTTTAAATTAACATTAAAATTCAAAATATCACTTAATTATTTAAAATTATGATTATAATAAATAATTAATTTAAAGATTTTTAATCATAATAAATCAATTACTCATCTAATTAAAAAATATCAAATATTTTACATATAGATAATTTACTTATTATAACTAAAACGTATTTATTTATTACTATTTTTGATATTATAAAAATATTAATTAATTATATATATCAAATTTAAATGATTTTTCTAGTTTTGGTAAAAAATATTTTTTTCATAAAATTATAAATGAATGATAAAAAGTACATACGATGAATTTAATAATCTAAAAAAACATGTTTTTTTAACAAAATATATATTAGTTTTTATTATTATTTGAATTTAAATATATTTTTAACAAATTTCATTTTAATATATTTTTAAAAAATTTAAACATAATATTTTTAATTAGAATAATAAAGGTAGGAGAAATAAAATAATAATGAGAGAGAAAATAGAAAAATAATAAATAAATAAGGAGTGAATGAGAAAAAAAATGAGAGAGAAAACGAAAGAAAAATGAAAAAAGAAAAATAACTACTTTATATTATAAAATTTTATTTTTGATAATTCTTTATATAAAAAATAAATAGATCTAAATAAATAAATTAATAATAATAATTTAATTTAAATAAATTTTTAATATATTATATATTCAATTAATTATCTAAATATTAATTGTATAACTTCCTTTCAGGAAAGAATTAATAAAATATAACTACGAATTTTTTACGTGGAGTTTGTTGATTTTACTTATTTTAATTTGTTGATTTACTTATTTTTTAAGTGATTGAGAACATATCACGTATTATGTTTTTAATAAATTTATATATAATTTAATCGATTCAACCATTTAATTAAAAAATATATTATTTTGATTGGGATAAAATTTTATATATTAAAAAATGAATAATATTTTTATAAATTTTAAGAAGTATCTTACAATGTAATCAATATAACTTAAAATAATAGAAGTTTTTATCGAATTAATTTAAGTGAAAGAAATTTTTTATTAAAACAGTAATTAAAAAAAATATATATATCAAATGATGTAATAGTTTAAATAAGTTATATTAATATTATTTAATTATTTGCGACGTATAAGTTGTTTGATATTATGTATCAATCTCAAACAATATAATGTTTTAACGTGATTATTTATAATTAGTATATCAATTAAGAATCTACCTTTAATGAAAACTAACCTCTATAAACATAGATAATTAAATTATATTTAATGATGCCAAATTTAATTATATATTATATAACCTTAAATTAATTATATATTTTATAAAATAAAGACACTTTCAAAACAATTAAAAAGATTATATAAAATAATTATATATTATATAACCTAAAATCATGAAAACTAAAAATATGATTTCTAATGGATTATTACTGAAATAAAATGTTTCAATTTAAATGTTTCTAATATATTTATTTAGTTTTATATTTAAAAATAAAAACGTGGGACATGTTAAAAATTAAAAATGTATATTTATTGCACTTAAAAAGATATATTTATTGCACTTAAAAAGATAGTGATGTTAAGTAGTACCTACCATAATTACGTGGGACAATTAAACTCATATATTTGCCTCGATTTGTACCTTTTACAGGAAAAAATTGAGATGATTAAGAGTGGGTTAGATTTGGGTTTTTAACTGTAAAAAGTTAGGTAATGTAATTTTTACCTATTTCTGTTACTTACTAATTTTATATTTAAATTTAAATTTTAAAATATTAATATTTAAATTTTTTTATTATATTAAATATTTTTTTATATTTTTATACTTTTATTTTTTTATTAACTTTTTGATTTTTAATTTTTATTAATTTTTTATATTAATTAGTTTATTATATTATTTTTTTTACTTTTTTATTTTTTGATTTCTTTAATCTCTTCTATTAATTTTTATTTTCAATTTTTTTAAATAATTTGTGAAATTTTTTTCTTTATTTTTTTAAAATATTTTACATAAATCTTAATAATAATTAACTATTATTTTATTTATAATTTATATTTATTAAATTTTATTACATCATAATTTTTAAATTTTATTATTCTTATTTATCCTATATCAAATTTTATTTTAATAAAATAATTATATTTTATAGAATTAAAAAAAATAATTTAAATTTGTATTACTTCAAACTAATTAAATAAAAATTAATTTATTAAATATTTTCTTATAAATTATATATTTTATATTTTTAAATAATAACTTAAAAATAAATTAATTTATATATATAACCAAATGTTTAAATATAATATAATATAATATAATAGTAATAATACAAATATTATATATATATATATATATTATTATTATTATTATTGCACCAAAACCAGCTAAAAAAAGAACATATGATTGCGAAACAGCGTATCAAGAGCATAGTTTATGGTTGTTGGAAAATCACAGAATTCCACACAAATTGCAGAGTTTTAATGGTTGAAAGATGGGATGTTTCAAAGTCCAAGAATGCTTCGGGTTGGAAAGTGAGAAGAGAAAGAAGACACAAGACACGAATCAACACGGGAATGCCCGTGCCTCTCCTCTCTCTCTCTCTCCCACTTCGCGTCTCAGTTCATTGCATTTCCTCTCTTTCTCTCCCATTTCATCTTCCTCCCTCCCAAATATTAAATTTTAATCTTAATATATTAATATATCAAAACTTATTTTAAGAATAAAATCACCATACAAAAATATTATTATCAGAAACAAGATAATACACTCATCCCAAACGAATATCATTTAAAAATAATAAAATATTTAACACAATATTATAAAATTTGATAGAGTTTTAAACGTAATAAAAGATGATAAATTTTAATCTTGAATTTTTTTTAATGATAAAAATGAAGACTGAAAAGAATGTGGTGTTGGTGTGAGAGCGAGAGACAGAGAAAGACATGATGATTACGATTTATGATGATGAGGATGAATTGCAATGGAGAAAAGAAAAGTAAACGAATGATGCATGGATATGAG